CGCGCCTGAGGACCCGAACGCCATCCATCAGTCGAGAACCACGTACGCTGGCATCCCAGCTGCAAAAAATATCCGGGCGAAATGGATAGTGGGTTTCACAAATCGAATCTGTTGTGGGATGTGGGGTAAAAGAGGCCGGTGTGGTGCAGGCTGTTTATAACATGCAACGATATAAGCTTTCTCCCGATGACCTCCTGTCCGGCAATGGGAGAAGTACGTGTAATAAGATCGTATATGAATCTGGACGAGGTCTATTGCGATAAAATGAAAGTATCTTGCTCACACATAGCGACTTCTACCGGGAGGGTAGAATCTAGCTAGGTATATGTGTGCTCAGCTCGCTCGTCCTAGGCTGCTAGTAGTACAGTACATACCAGGTGCGTGCTAGGCCCCATCGAGTGACCACTCGTGATTAATATAGTCAACTAACCACCACACAAGTCCGAGAGCGCCGATCAGGAGGTGTGGTGCGTTAATAACCTTTCGATACAGGATACATGCCTGCACCGTTAATTTAAGGATCAATCATACTATACTAAAGCCGAAACTCGCAGGGTTGTGGCGCTCGCGCACGGTGGCGGTGCGGAGTCTACTAATATTTACCATACTTGTATTTGATTGATTGTATATTACCTACATGCATCTCTACCTCTAATAAAACCCTACTAATTAACTAAAAGCAAGCCACAGTACTAATATTTCCTGTCTTAGGGCTATGTACCCCAGACAGCCCACGGCGCCAATTGCAACCACTCAACTTAGGCTCAATTGGTCGCCCAGCCTAAGCTCTACTCCGGAACCCCGTCCCGGTACCTGCAGAGTTTCCAATATGCTCTCGGGCTTTTCGGGGTGCCCACTGGGGGTGTTGGGTGTTGATATAGTGGGTTGAACTTGATATAATATATTGAGTTGAACTTGGTATATAAGTACCATCTGCGAATCCCTCTGTGGTGAGTCCTTTCTGTTCAGTAACAGCTTTGGAAACTCTTTATTTCATCCCAAAGAGACAATAATGGTTGTCGCACACTTTCTTCTCGGAGCGGCCGTGCTGGCCACTGCTGTCAATGGTCAGGCCGCACTATGGGGCCAATGTGTAAGCCTCCCCCGAACCCCAAAGACTAGAAGCCCTACTAACACCACCTCCAGGGCGGTGTTACCTGGACTGGAACTACCACTTGCGTCTCTGGCGCTACCTGCACCAAAATAAACGATTGTAAACCCCCCCCCCCCCCACCCACCATCCCCGCTGCCTTCTAACACCCAAGCTAGACTACTCCCAATGTATCGCCGGCACCGCAACCACCACCGCGGTCGCCTCATCAACAACCTCCACGGCAGCCAGTGCCAGCTCCAGCCCGGGTCTCAACACTCTCGCTGTGGCTAAGGGAAAGACGTACTTTGGGTCCGCGACGGACAACGGCGAGCTCAGCGACGCTGCATATACGACCATCCTGAAGAATAGCAAGGAGTTTGGTGTGATCACTCCCGGAAACAGCATGAAATGGGATGCAACGGAGGGCACTCGCGGAACCTTTACCTTCACGAATGGAGAGACCATTGTGAAATTTGCGGAGGCCAATGGGCAGAAGGTGCGCGGGCATACATTGGTGTGGCACTCGCAGCTGCCAAGTTGGGGTATGTATTTCTCCGAATGGTGGTGGGGATGAGACTAATTATTGTGTGGTAAATAGTTAGCAGCGGTGGATTCAGCGCGGCGGAATTGACGGAGATTATTCAGACCCATGTGACGAATTTGGTGACGAACTGGAAGGGCAGAATCCTGCACTGGGATGTCGTCAATGAGATTTTTAATGACGATGGCACATACCGTACCAGGTATATTCGCTGCCCTTTCATATATCTAACTTTCTCTGGATACTAACACCGAATTCGAACCCACAGCGTGTTCTACAACACCCTCGGCGAAGAGTTCGTCTCCATCGCGTTCAAAGCCGCGCGCGCCGCCGACCCCGCCGCAAAGCTCTACATCAACGACTACAACATCGACGGCACCGGCGCAAAGTCAACCGCCATGTACAACCTCGTGCAGAAGCTACTTGCCGCCGGCGTGCCCATCGATGGTATCGGTGTCCAGGCGCATCTCATCTCCGGTAGCGTCCCAAGCACACTCGCGACTAACTGGGCCAGCTTTGCATCGCTGGGCGTGGATGTGGCCATCACGGAGTTGGACATTAGGATGACGACGCCGTCGGATGCGACAAAGCTTGCCCAGCAGGCTACGGATTATGGGACAGTCGTGAAGGCGTGTGTAAGTGTGCCAAGGTGTGTTGGAATCACGGTTTGGGATTATACGGATGTGAGTTTTTCTTGATTTCTTAAGTGGGAGTTGAAGAGTTACTGACCATCGTGAGTAGAAATATTCGTGGATTCCAAGTGTGTTTTCAGGACAGGGAGCCGCTCTCCCGTGGGATGAGTTGTTGGTTAAGAAGCCCGCCTATGCGGCGATTGCGTCGGCGTTGGCTTAGAGAGAAGTGGACGTTTATGCGAGTGATATATTATGACGCCGATTCCGTCGGTGATACGGCAATATCAAAATCTGTCAAAGTTATGAAATCGATTATCATTGTTTATAGGAGCTTACGAATAAGAACGTTTCAAGCCCAAGATAAGTCCCTACTGTGAAGCCTCTCAGGAACATTACCAAGCTCCGGTGCGCCAAACATTTTGGAAAAGTCAATCCAGACGTTGATGCGTTCCATTAATCGCGATGGCTGGCATGTAAAATGTCCAACAGTGCCTCAAGTAATTACGATACTGATTGGCTTGAAGTATAAACACGGTATACGTGTAGTCTGTAGTTTTCTTGGCACATTTATCTACTGCTGTCGGGACACTTGTATCAACGTCAATTGACCATTAGTCACAAATATAAGGGATTGACACGGACGTATCTTCAAGACACAGCTATTGAGGATGATGGGCAGAGACCTGGCTTTAAGGGGCTAGTAAAGTATTTAACGGATCGACTCCACCAAATCTCTCAATGAAGTCATCTACGGGATTTTCAAATCGAAATACCTCCTATTGCTAGCTACGCGATTGCATCAATTGCACTCATACACATAGGACCGAGATTCAAGAGTTTCAGATCTACGTACTCAATTCTTGATATCCAACTCGCTGCAAGTCGTGGCCTTCAATCTACCGCCGGGAATGAAGGTACATGACATTGGTGTGATGTTGGTGTGATGTTGGTGTGATGTAGGGTATTTACCCACATATACTAGTACCTACAAAGACAATGAATGTTTCACACTCTCAAGAGCTCGGGATGGTAATGGTATAATTTAGCGATTGAAGTTCGGATACATGTCCTAGGTAGATCTATAGAGTACACCCCACATGCACACGTATCGTATCGAAAACCACTTCCGCAGCCTCTGACATCAACACGCAGATATCCCTCCAGCGGCTGAAGCACTATTCCCCGCTGAGTGAGGTAGGATGTGTTTCCAGTCTAAGGACTCGGAATCGCCCGCATTCGTTCTCTGCGGGGGGTTGTTTTGAGAGCGGTATCCAGGGTAACTGAATACTCCAAGTAGGTTATGCAGGTAGCCTGAATTAACGTGGCTGGCGGGCAGGGCGTTATCGTCCCGCTGGCCATGTTATATGGTAGTCAAGCATGTACTCACTTTTGCAACTGATCGGAACTATTTTTATACCTGATAAGGATCGAGTGTTACTGTTACGGGCGACATGCGCCCACCACATTTCGAAGGCTACACTGGTTATACGAATCCCAGGGGCTTGGCTTCTCGAACTTAAAGCCTAACATAACTACACTTACCACATCACAATCCCCAGTCGACCTGTTATTCTTGCCGATTCCGTGCACCCCCCGATCGAGAAAAAAAAGACGCAGAAAGGATACCCTTCATAGGATACTATAGTAGAAAACTTCAACTACTTTACAATCTCACGTTAGAGCACAGTGGCCGCAAGTACGAGGGTGTGAGAATAAGCTTCTTTCCAGCTAAGGCTTTGTGATGAGTCATCCCGCTGATATACATGTATATATAGACACTGAGCTTAATTCTGTTCGCCAGACAGAAGCTTATCTCCGTCACGCGACACGAACGACTAACTAAGTGCACGTTGGAACGCGCATGCACTTTGCCTGAGGTCGTGAGGGTCAGACTGGGAACTGGCGTGTTGTGACGGGGTTCACAGCAGTGTGAAGCTAGGTTAATAGGTTAAGGAGAATTGACATGATATTCACTCACTCACTCACTCACTCACTCACTCACTCACTCACTCGCTCACTCGCTCACTCGCTCACACGTCAGCTCAGGCCAGAGCGATATGTGCGTGGCGAGCGAGAAACCTAAAAGAATCCTCACAAGAAGCGAAAGGGCAGCTGGCTGGAGAGGCACTCTTCTATATATGGTGATTCGATACCAGCTACCTACCAACCCCAAGCCCAAATTTTGCGACTGGAACGTTTAGAGTTTACAATTCCCCTTGCGGTCTCCCGGAAGGGCAAGTGAAAAACAACAATAATAATCATTTTACGAGATGCGATATGTAAACTACCAGGCGCAGTAGGGTATCCCAGAAGTGTACATTTAGTAGGGCACCCTGTTTCAAAATGGTACTCCTCACCAGGAAGAACACCCGCCTCCCCCGACCGATTAGGTTTACCAGGGAGCATGTAGTCAATAGGGCATGCAGCGTGGCAAAAAAAGAAAGAAAAACAATATATTGAACACGATAATTTGGCCGTTTTGTTTTCGGTAGAGTGGACCGGCCGGTGCGTGCGCGCCGGGTACAGGGAAGAATTGAATTCGTGCGCGGCCGACCTGCCACGGTTACATCTCTCAACTCTCTTCTGTGGGGGAAACAGAGGATTTCTACTCCGCTACATACGTAGTCTACTGAGTAACAAGAGTATGACTGGAGATATTCCCAAGAGCACGCCATTCTGTTGGACATGTAGTCGCGTCCCTTGAATTCTTCGTGCTCTAGTCGCCGCTGTCATCATGGCCACTGCAGGTTCCCGGGCCGGCATGCCCGACGGCCCGCCAAGTCAGTCAGTCAGGAACGCGCCGGAAAATGCCGTTGCGGTACCCCGGACGCCAAGGGTCGCGGTTATCTCAAACTGAGAGATTGGTTTGGGAGAAGTTAGGGGGTGATCCGGGGCAAGGTCTGTTAATTCTGTAGAGTAGAGTGGTAGAGTGGGTAGCTAGAGCTAGAGCTAGAGCTAGAGTGCTTGGGGGTACTCTATTAATTCTTGGCACGGCGAAGTAGAGTACTAGCCTGGCTTTGATTGTTTTGGAGTTGGGGTTGGGATCAGATGCCAAGAGTTTTGTGCTCTACTAGATAGTAGGGAGGTCTGTTTATATTCAGGAGTTCGAGGGAGAGCACATGTAGGTATGTAGCTATGACGGAAAAATTAAAAAAAAAGACGTACTGACCCCTATAGGTACTATGGGATATCCGAGCATCTCCCCTTTGTACATGGATCATCAATGACCTGGGGGGACGTTTATCTATTTACATCTAGTAGAAGGTTAATTATAATATCCGAGGTAGGTTGTCTTAAGCTTAATTATAATGCCTTCTTACCAAGCCGCCGCGCCGGCGATTTAGGAAGCCCTGAGAATTAGAGTGTAGTATAACCCCCACGTATACGTAGATCACGGAGATTAATGATGACCCCTTAAGCTTCTGCGTATAGCTATTGTTTAATGCAATGGCTAGAAACTCCCGAAAGCCCGGATACTACTGCTTCCTGGAAGGCTTGGTGCAAGCGGCGTAGGGGCTTGGTGATTTTGATATTGGGCTTTGTAATTCAATTGAGCGCAATTGGCTGGGCAATTGGTTTAGAATATGTAAATCTTCGCCTGTTTACAGATCTAGAGTCTAGACGCAATTGCAGAGCCCAGCCAGATAGGTAGATCCACATCTACCATGGGCAGTAGCTATCCGCATCCCCGGATTTCAAATCTTTAGACGTAGACCCACCTCATCATGTATAGAGACGTTGACATCTAGCTACGTAGCCTTGTACAACGCCGAAGTTTGGCCGATAGTGCAATACGCCTTGAAACTTTCCATCCTTTTTTAGCTTTGACGTTGCAATTGGAGTTCTGCATGTTGCACAGAAACTCAATCTACGTATACAGAGATAGATGCTAGCTAGCTAAGAAGGAAGGAAGGAAGGTGGGTGCCCAGACATCTGGTAGAGGGAGGAAAGTCTTGGTGCACTCTAGATGAGGAAAGTAGAAAGACTCTTAGACTTTGTACGCTTGAAAGTGCACGTGCTCTGTTTAACAGAGAGAGACTCCAGGGCCCCGGTAGTAGCTTAATTGCACAGCCAATCGGGGATTTCGAATTCGAGTCTTATATTTTATATGTAGCATGTAGCACTAAGATTTTTGCTTGGCTTGACAGGTAAACAGACCCACTGTCTCCAGCTCTGCCACTGGGTATCAGAACAAAGAGTAATGATCAACTAGGTTTTTTTCTTTTCTTCCACCACTGGATGCCCGGGCCGTTGGGGAAATTTGTACCGGTGTCTGTAATGTAATCTCGACAGCTTATTCTTTTTTTTTCTTCTTGTCTTTCCTTGCTCGGATCCTCACGGGCCATGGGATGAATTGATTGTGATTGTAATTGTAATTCTCTGGGTCTTCGAGAATTGGCAGAGACCGGATATAAAAGCGTGTCTATCCCCATCGTCAATATCTCTTCCCCATTAGTCTTCATCAGTCAGTACTTGCCTTCACAGTCACTCTCTAGATCCGCTATCCTTCTATATACTTACAATCCACCAATCTTTGCCTAAACCTAATACCATGAAGATCACCGCCCTCGCCTCCCTCATGACCGCTGGTCTCCTCGCCACCGGCGCCCACGCACACACCCGCGTCTACGGTGTCTGGGTCAACGGCGTCTTCCAAGGTGATGGCCGTGGCGTCTACGTCCGCTCCCCGCCCAACAACAACCCCGTCAAGGACATCACCAGCAGCGCCATCAACTGCAACGTTGCCGGTACCAGTGCCGTTGGCGGCTCCGTGACTGTTGCGACTGGTGCTACGTTCGAGTTCGAGTGGTACCATGATGTGAGGAGTGATGATATCATTGCTGCTGTAAGTCCCCAGCTCGCTTTCCATCTATTGATAGATATATATGCAATCAAAGCACACTTACTGATATGCCATATGATATCTAGTCCCACAAGGGCCCCGTCCAGGTCTACATCGCCCCCGCCTCCAGCAACGGCAACGGCGCCGTCTGGACCAAAATCGCCTCCGAGGGCCTCAGCGGCGGTGTCTGGGCCGTCGACAAGCTGATCGCCAACAAGGGCCGCCACAGCGTCACCATCCCCAGCTGGCTCAAGGCCGGCGACTACCTGATCCGCGCCGAGATCATTGGCCTCCACGAGTCCGAGGTGGCCTACAGCGCCAACAGTGCCCGTGGCGCACAGTTCTACCCTTCGTGCACGCAGATTAAGGTTACTGGTAGCGGTACTACTTCGCCGTCGCAGAACTATGCAATCCAGGGAGGCTATTCGTATTCTGATGAGGGTATTGTGTTCAACCTTTACTTCAACCCCTCAGGTACTTACACTGCTCCTGGTCCGGCCGTCTGGAGCCCGGGTGCGGCGAAGAAGGCGAGAAGCTTTGAGGCTTAGATGGAGATCTTTGGAGAGAACACTCTCGGGTGTGGTGGGGAGTGTGGTGGGGAGTGTGGTACATATATAGTGCGGGTCATGTTTAGAAGTTTGTGTAGCTGGCTGGCTGGTTGAAGTATATATAGCGGAAGTATGTAGTTTGTGGTGTAAAAAATAGATTGATGTTGTCGTCTGAATTGCGTATTCTTGACAGTGTACCTGAGGTAGAGCTGGAGTTGCATCGTGAGACTTGTGGTTCGGTGCTCAGCTGTGAGGTGGCTAGATGCGTGCCGTCACTAGCTGCATACGTGGATCGATTGCTGCATACATGTATGTAGACAGAACTGCATTCCACAAACTTGTGTTTATCCCATTTCTGAAGATATTTGTGCGTGCGCTCACCCGAGTGTTTGTGTAGTTTCCGTTATTCGTGGCAATTCCTTGTCAGCGTTGCTTTATGCATTTTGGATTATCTGTGCTTTTGCGGTTAGAAGAACAGGTTGTTCTCTGTCTGTGGTTATAAGAGGGGCCTTTTCACTTCTTCAATTGTTTCAATTCGCTACGATAAGCTTTGTTCATCGGTTCTCGTCTACTCAAAGATCACGAGTTGGTTTTTACTATGGGCTAGGGTCACAATGTATCACTCGATACAAGTCTTGACAATCTTTATAAGTCGACGGCATTGTGGTTCTTGGTAGCACTGCGCTACGATACCTTTGGATACCACCGGATTAAGATGGTAATGAACCCTTTCCGAACCCGGGGGCTTCTCCCTCGTCTATTTAACCTTTAGTAAAATAAACAGATCGAATATATATATATATTCTTCATATGCTGGAATAACACAACATTCCCTGGACACCGCACACACACTACCCCAGCCCTAAAGCGGACCTATTGTTTGCTCTCAGGGTCTACTCCACTTTCGCGTATAAGTATAGTGACTGGAAACCGACAGACAGCCCAACCAGCTCTTTTGATGGCGAAATATATTCACACTTCATCACTCGTTCTTGGCAACCAGTTCCTCCGCCCCGCGACTATAAGTTGAGCCACAGTACAGTGATCATCCCATCTGATCGAGCATATACTGTGGGTCAGAAATCTTGGCTCTCGCTCTTCTCCGCCGGATCCCCGGGGGAGTATCCTTTTCGCGGCAGTATCCTTTTCACGGTAGTTATGTCTTTCTGCGCTGCCCGCGTGAGGTTGTCGCGTGGTTTCCAATTGAATAACATCCGGCCTAGGGGTCGGACGTACAGAAACTCCAGCCCCTTGGCCCTGGGTGTCGATACGATAAGGAGCGCATATCTCTTGTTTAACGACCGCAAGGCAAGTTGTTACGATCGAGCTTTATCTTAGCTACCCCTCACTGCTCTGATAAGGGATTGGTTCCATCTGACGCTCTCCCCGCACTTTTGTTTTTGGGTAGGGCGGGTGATGCTAAATATTAAAGCCAGTTATTTGTTGCAATGAGAAGTTATTAGAGTCAAGCAGACTTGGCCGAATCATGATCTACTTAATATTTCTGCCAATATTAATAGTCTCGGCCGGATTCGGTATTTACATGCAGATAATATTGTGACGATGGTATATATGACACCGATCCAGATATGTACGGCGATCATGCGCCGGCCAGCGGAGAATATCACCCGGAAAAGAAAAAAGACCTAGCTCTAGAGCACAAAGGAAGTAGCATTGGCACTCTGGTACATGTAGGTACATGAAGCTCAGTAGATATACAATACTTACATTTACATAGTCGGCCAGCTGGCTGCGTCGTTAAACACCCGAACGCACGCTCCGTGAGAATCCGGCGTATTCGCACCCACCAGGCTCCGGGCCCGGATCGGGGAGTTGCCGATTATCCTCATATACAATTGGCACATGCACGCCGCGGGGGAATGTTTAAACTATGTTGCCCCATACCCCATATGCATGCTATGCTATAGGAGAGTCATCTCATCCATCTCATGTGAGACACAGTCTTCACACAACCCAAAACTGCACGAGCTGGCTAGCTACATGTAGTGCTGTAGGAAATTCAGCCTAGGCCAGCTGAGCACGCACTGACGAAAGAAAATTCTCGAACATGTTAGTGCCTTGGGAACTGCACCGTGCAGGAAGTGGTAATGTTCTGGATCATGAACGAGAAAGTACGTTACTCAGATCAGGTGTACTACAATTGCAACATGAGCCGGACGTTTGATCTATGTTGGGTACAATTAGAAACATAACAACGCACTGGTATAGAGAGCTCATCATGTATGTACGTACCACATGCAGCACGGTCATCTCATCGTGGAAATAGGTATGAATCACGTTGTTAATCATGACTCTGTAATAATATCATATCTTGTGAAACATATTATATTATTTGTCTGTATGGGGTATATCTGGCCATGGGGGGGCAACGTACGGATCACAACTCGACATAAGCTCCATGAGTGACTCCATGGGAGAGGTAGGTACCCGTTGGAAGGACACAGACACAGACATAGACAGAGACACAGACATAGACATAGACAGAGACACAGACTCAGACACAGACACCCGCCCACCGGTGAATCCTCTGGAGAGATGGAGTAAAAAAACGCCCTACGACACGTGCGAGTCTATGGTCCGGACTAGTACACTGCAGGAAGGTATAGGCACTAGGCAGACCAACTAGATGATGTTCCACACATCGTTCTCGCACACACCCGGTACCCATGTACGGCCACGGCCGGGACGTTATGCTATGCTAGTCAAGTCAACGTACGTACGTTAGCCCGTACTTTACTTGTATGTAGCTGTATAGCCTTCAGATCTTTTTTCGGTTCCGAGGCGTCCGGGGGCGTAGGTAATCTCAGGTACAGTCGTTACGTTAGCCCAGAGCCTCTTAAGATCTTCAGTTACTGGACTTTGGGGATCACCAGTGTCAGGTAATATTACGACCGACGATCACTATCGATCGTTGGCGCATGAAAAGGGCCAAGCATCAGATTATGTCTCATCCGCCCCTCCACATGCGCATAAACGTACGACCGAAGCTAGACTGGCTTTAAAGACATAGAAATTGATCACCTCGCAGTAACTTTCGTGATGATTCTCCGAGATTGTTTCACTGGATCGATGGTGAATACAGTATATACACTGCCTACCCCAGGCTTAACCTAACATAACACTCACTACAATGTACTTTAGTGCATTGTACTAACTACATGAGCCCGGACGGGCGGCCAAGCAAATAAGCATAAGCTATTATGTACATGTAGTTAAGGCGCGGCGGGTGAGCATGAGCATACATACTTTAAAACCCAAAACTAAGGCTACACGGTACCCGTTAGTCGCTCTGAATAAGCTCCGAGATAAGGAAGAGATACTTACGTACCCAATAAGTACCTGCACTCTTAAGTTCCTAGTTTCAGGTTTCAAGTATCTAATAAGCGCCGAGAGCTTCTGATGATATATTCAATATCGAATATACCAATTGCCGAAAGAAAAAATCTCGGCATCATCATGATGGGGTTCGTCCCATATCTCGGACCGGAACCCAGCTAGATACATGTATATGTGTTATAATGGAGATAGGGATGAGATGAACCGTTCACAAAATAACTAATCGTGCTGGTATATATAGCCCCGGTTCCGTCTTTATAAGCAGTATATCTACAGATGTGGTAAAAGATCGACCTCTAGCTACCGAGTTGGAGGATATACGTACGTACGTATACTAGTAGATTTGCTGCGTTGATGTGTAAGGAACCTAAGGTATGTAATCAGTGATATCAATGCATTGATATATGAGCGAATATTGTGATCGGTATCATGTACCTACCCGGGACTCGGAACTCCTGGAGCTCGGAGAGATGTGGTTTTGTTTCTGTAATATAATTGGGGGGGTTAACGTTTGTAATTGTTTGATTTGATTTACTACGGATACTACGGTGATATGATTCGGGGTTAGCTATAGACCTTGGATAGCTGGCTAGCTAGCTACATGTAGCTAGAAATGATTGTAAACACATTATCACAAAAAAATTTCTAGAAGGAAAAAACAATAAACATTAGGGTGAACGAAATCCAAACACCGGTGAAGAATGCAGGGAATATTAGTAGAAAGCACAATATACCAGATCCAGCATCCCGAAAATGTGCAAATCCACGACATCAAACATCACCAATATCTCCAAAGCCAAGATAGCTACCTAGGCCCAACTAACCAACCGTACCCCAATCCCCAATCCCAACCCCCCCCCCCCCCCCCCGTACGTACCAACTACACCACTACCATCGAATCACCAAGGGCAACTTTTTCGCATCTCCCACCCAGGCCAGCTATCCACTCCACAGCAAACAAACCTAGCTTATACCCCGCCACGCCACGCCCATACCGGGCCGTTCTGAATAGTATTTGTAATGGGGCAAGAGATCTGAAAAGATAAGTGGCCATATATAATTACAAGTGCACATCCTACCTTATGCCCCCCACCACCACTATTTGACTGGGTAGCGATAATATTAGAGGAGCGAGTAGTAGCTAGATATCTGGATAGTTATTCGATTCAAAGCGAGTGATTACTCTGGCCCGGTCCGCAATAGCATGCCGTACAGTACGGGTACGGTATGTAGGAATCGAGATATCTAGCTTGGTAGCTTGGCAGGTGGGCAGCTGTTTAGCTAGCTTGATAGTCCCCCGCCTCCTCCTCCTCCTCCTCCTCCTCCCCTTCACCCCCACGTTTCTCGGTGTAGGCGGGTCTTCTGTTTAGTAGGCTTATGATCGGTGGAGTTGAGGAATAATGTTTGATTTGGAGCGCTGTTATCCTGAAACTGGTTACTGGCTTGAGGTTGTGGTGCAGCGCAGTAGCTAGAATTCAAGTAACTACATGACCGGAATAATGGTGGTTCCTTATCAACGCACTGGAACCTTTTTAGGACGAAATGGATAAAAGAAACTACACGTAGTACTGCACTAGCTTTGGTAAGCTACGAACTCATCACCTCGTGTTGAGCAGCTTCATAGGCCGCTCCATGTTCATAATCATGATGGGGAGAATAAAAGTAAGCTATAATTTTGAAAGTCTCGTTTCAGTAATAACTATAAAAGACAAACGAAAGAATCAAGGAAGGTATATAAGAAAAAATAACAGAGAAAGCAAGGAAAGGGAGCGATGAAACAAGACGAAAAACTCAGCCCACCCAACTAACAACGCAAAGCCAAAACAATGACAAGAAACCAGAGAAATCTTTCCAAAGATGTAGACGTAACAACCAAACCCGAAACCAAAAAAGAACCACCCATGCCAAACGCCCGCCACCAGCTATCCAAAAATCTATCTAGCCCAGCTAGTTGTTGCACGATTATACCTGTTACTTCACCCCAGGTGGATAGCAATGCTAACTCCATCCTCGCTTCCGATCTGATTAACAATCCTATTGACTGTTTCAGAGACCTCTGAGTTGATTAATACGGTTACGACTCGCTGCCCCATATTTTCTGACTGCACATTTGGAGAATATCCTTCCAGTAGGCTACTCAGAGGTCCTACTTCTTCCACCATACCATTATAATCTAGTAACGCAGTCTGGTCGAGGGAAAGCGACCGAGATATCATCTGTTCTGTAGCTTGTTTAGAAGTACTTGAAGCGTAAGAGAGCGAGCGGAGTCGGTTAGCATCGAGTTGAAGACCGTTAAAAAACATTGGCATTTCTTCGTTTGAACCAGGCGGTGTGTTGTTTGGGAAGCTTGCTTCAGGTGTGCTACCAGCGTTTGAAGATGATGTCAATAATGACCAGTCTGTGGGTGACAACGGCGGGCACTCTGAGTTTTGGAAGGTGTATGGAGGCCTGTGAATATCGGGCGTCATTTTGCGCCCGCTGAGAGGGCTTCCATACATTATTTGGTCTTGATTATTGGAGGGCGGATCTTCATTGTACTGCTGCTGGCAGCCTGTTTGAGAAAAAAGAGCATCAATTGACCCCCCGGTAATAGTATCTTGTGCCGAAGAGGAAGAATTGGAACGTAGTTGTCGATCTGCATCAAGACTCAGACCTTGCTGATGGAACTGGGGTGATGAATGTGCCATAATTACTGGGGATGTTGCCTCTTGGGGATGTTCCTGCTGCTGTAGCTTAGACGGTGCTTTGATGTTAGGAGAGCTCGATTTTTTTTGAGCTCCTGTTTGAGATCCGGAATGTTTGGTCTTTGGCTCCATTTTTCTGATCAATAACGAGTATCTATTCGACACGTATCATCAGTTAGCTCTCAATATTTCTTTTAAATTAACTTTATTGTAGATCTTATTGAGGATAATTCAACAGCGATCACTCATCGGAGTTAGTACCTGTTTTTTGCCGAAAGGCTTGTCCGACGTGGGAAATAAGCTTTTACAATAGCTTTCCAGTTACGACCATTTTTATTAATGGCTTCTAGGAGTCTGGCATCCTGGTATTTATTAGATTTCGGTTTCCCTGAGAAAATATCGAATTGTAACATATGTTAGATCAAACCTACCTCTTCGGGTGTCCATGGACTGTGATCGATACTTGGGTCTAAGGCATCATACCACCGTTTCGAGCATTCTATAAAAAAAACTATAGGTTAGACACGGGAATTCACATATATAGTTGAGATACAGATCTAGAGGCTTTGTAGCGCTTGTAAACCGAAAAAGATCTTGAAGAGAAATTCAACTCACGATCCCCGTTTCGCGTCTTAACAACCTGTGCAACGAGCGCCCATCTGGCAAGCTTGGTAAGTATATCCCGACGCAATGGAAGCTTTCGAGTCCCACATACCGACTTCCATGTTCCTGAACAGCTGCCCACAACCGCTCATCCTCAGCAACCTCCCAAGGACCTTTATTGACAGTAGCTGCAACCTTATAATGCCACCTCTTTCGACAATCTTTGTTGGTACGTCCGGGGATACAGGAGGCAATCAAATGCCAGTCACAGGCTGAGTCTCCCCCTGGTAGTTACAGGATTGTCAGTATCGGCTTTAAGAAGCATCTTCCTGATCTTACTAGCTAGCGGCTCCATTGCTAGGAATAGTGAAGAGAGAAAAAAGGTGTATCTATAGCAATCTAGCCCTGCTCATTCCAGGAATCTAGTATTGTTGAAAGAGACCGTACTGACCTTTCAAGACTGCATCTCGCAGTGTTGCATCTTCTGCCTCGGTCCACTTTCTTCTTTCTCGAGGCATTCCGTCTAGTTGTCCGTTCGTTCGGAAAAGGTTGCAAGGTCTGGGCCGGGGCCGGGTGATGTATTCAACGCAAGGCAAAGTACCAGGGAATGGGAAACGTTACTTGGGAGGAACAAACTATTTTTTTTCCAGAGTGAAATTTTAGAAGTAGTAATAGCGGTCGTATTAAATAGCGAATTGATGAAAATCAGAGGGGCTCAAAGAGCTATTATATCGACTTGAGCTGGAGAATAGACACCTGCATATAAAGGGCTGGCTCACAGGCTGACTACACACAGGTAAGAAGATTGTAGTTGGTATGATGGCAGTGCCCCATCGAATACGGCTAGCCTTGCAATGGAAAGCTGTCATGTAGAGGCACGAATAGGCGTGTGGGGGGAAGGGGGGGGGGGGTGGTAAGGAATTTTCCGGAGTCCGGACTCGTTCTTCTGGATCAGCATGTGCACTGGAAGGGTTTTATCGGTAGGTTGTACAAGCAGGAGTTTCTCATCTCACGTTATTCTTGAACTGGTGGTGATTTGTGAAAACCGTATCCATGGTTCCTGTCCCTTTTCACGCCATTCATCTTCCAGGTACATTGTTCTTGGGATTAAGCTGTGAAGAGCTAAAGGGCGAGCTAGATCGCTGATATGGGGTTACCTAGAAATTTATTAAAGGCAATTCTTTGTATCTGTTTAATTCATTCATTAAAGCTTCCAAACTACTTGCATGTAGATATGTACAATTCCCTATTGGCCAGATAACAGCCAACCATCCAGCCGGCCGGCCCAGCCAGCAAGCCAGCAAGCCAGCCAACCAGCCATGAAGGCATCAACATTCAAAGGTTGAACAATATTTGCGATGGAAGGAATTGTAAAAAAAACACAATGTATATATGTTGTATAGACATTAGCATTCCTGGCCAAATGACCTGACAATCTATTTGTTGCTCGCTATGAACATAGGAGAATGAATAACCCTCAACTCGCATACAGCCTTGACCTAGCTCACAGAACATTAGTGTTAGTGGCGTGACCGTGGCGGTGAGGCGTTCATCAAACGAAACAAGGCGTAACACTTACAACTTATTACAGCCCACATGGTTTATCTACATGTACTTAGCTAATTATATGTAGGTATGTTTCAACAGAATCAAGGAATATATGTTCTAGAGACTATACAAAAGGAAATTCTGGATTCTTACCGATACCTACAACCAAGCCACAAAATCATAGCTATTTTAACAATTGTATACGATGTGCTCGTAATTTACGTATACGGTACCTACTTGATATGAGCTAAATACATGTAGATATAAATTCCATGCCATAAATGGTATGGTGGGGTAAATACATGTAGCGTTAGTCAAAACAGTTGAGCTCACTTTACTTTCCCATCTACCCATCTCATGCTCATCGAGTCCTAAACCTGTTTGCCTTTGGCCGCCCGTCCTACCATGCATTCTGGTTTCTTTTTCCTTTTCTTTCTTTCTTTTTTTTCTTTCTTTTTTTTTTTGTGGTGTGTTTTTCAACTGTCTTCGGTGATCCGTCTAGCAAGCGGTGAGAAAACAAGTATGTGCGTACATATGGTCCCTTTAAAATAACTGCATGTACATAAGGCTGCATTTCTCTCGGGTTCAAGATTTGGGTGGCTGATGATCCTTGTTGATAACAACAACGTTGTTATCACAAATAGTGGTACATGTAGGTACATGTCCTCTAGGTATTCCTGGATACTGATCTCGTTAGGGAAAATCTCGACTAATGTACGCATAGGCAGGTAAATTTACGAAGAAAAGGTACCATCCACCCCCGTATTCTGTTGTCGTGAGTTACGATGTTACCGGGATGACACGTAAGGTTGCACAATGTGCCGACAGTAGGTACAGAGAGTAGCGGTGATTCCCACCGCAAAAAATTAACCTACTACCACACCCACAACTAGAATTACATGTACGTATGCAAGGTGCTTAACGCATCATGTAACGTGTAATCTAGAGTACTAGAATAGGCACATCGTAAATCTCAAATCACATCTGCCTCCGCATGACGCATAAATTCAAACGGCACCCCCCCCCCCCTGTAGACGCTCCCTTCGTAAAGTTAAGCTTCGTCAAACCACTTTCAACTAGATTTTGCGAAGTGCTGTTTCGAAACAGGGAACAAGGGGACCTCCGGACGGAGTAAGTGAACCTGTAACGATTTGAGATTAAATATCTGGTTCTTGAGATTTTGTTTTATTTCTGGGTGCTTCTTATAATCATGATCCCCGTGCCTTAGGTTTGGCTGGGCGATACCTGTTAATACTTTCCCGGGTTTAAAGAATTTCGGCATTCGTTCTGCTTCGATCGGGCGGGCACAATATAAAGCTCATCTGCCGAGAACGGAAGAGACGTACGTTCCTTGTACCTCTCGGATAATTAATTCTCCGCCAAATGCTAGTTATAATTAGCCTTCCGTTGTCCATAAGCTTCACAAAAAAATGAAATGCTCAAGGTAAAGTGGAGTTTGAGGAGGTTCTAGAACAGTATAGTACATGTTGTTACCTACAAACGCACGGTAACTACCAAAACAAGAGCTCTTCACACTAGGACAAAGCACCCAGCCGCTAAAGACACCCGTTGCCTAATCTGGAAACGCTACTTGTGTAGCGATCTGACTAACGCCACTACCGCTGTAGATCCTACAGCCACACTTTGTTTGAACGTCCTTGCTTCTGGTAATTGTTTTGAAAATCGCACAACGAACCCTCAATCTCAAGTGGTATCAATAATTTCATTGAAGTTTCCTGGGGTAGTCGATGTAGGGGAGCTTTATTCAATCGGTCATGGGTGTATGCATGTATATTGGCTTTATTTACATGCTTTAGGCCAACACGATCGTACGACGACGAAAGCCAGTTTGGAGCGGAGTGTGTACATAATTGTAGTAGTCCTAGCGCGACCTAAGGAGGCATTAGTAAGAATGTGACATAGCTACGGCACTGTATACTCGCGACCAGCAACAAGAACCCGAATATGCAGCTGCAAGTCTTTGGTGTATTTTTGACTTCTACTCCAATGGAAATTGCAGATTAGGACGTGCATTTTCGGGTTCTTGTTGCTGGTCGCGAGTACATGTACTCTATCAAATCTGAAGTGTCACATCTGGTGGCTAGTCTGGACACCTGCGGCGTTTATCCTTTCACCAATTAAGTTGTCACTTCATCTTGAGACTAGGCCGACCCATCTGGAGTATCTGAAATACACGGACTCCCCACCCTCCCCCAACAGAGAAACCTGAAATCAAAGGGTGCTGTGCCTAGATACACACATTTGACCACGAGCGCCCATGCAAGTATATCTATACCCTCGAAGCTATGAGTTCAGTCTAGCTCATCGTTAAGAGGTGTTACTGCTAGGGTTACTTAGAGCCCCGCGCGGCCGGAGTAGCTAAGGGTTTTGCTGCTATATATATATATATATATTCAAAGGAAACTATCCCACGTTATCCCAACCAGAGTTATAGGTACACGTACCTACAGTCTGCTGGAGTCAGGATTTTTTCGTAATGGAAAGAGGGCGAAACCCTACTACACCCTTCTAGAAGCCAAAGATACTCAGCCACAACAAGCAGTTCATGGAATAAGAAATTCTCTTACCGGACTTGACTAATATGATCCAAGAGCCTCTTCTACATGTACACCTATGCAAAACTATCATAATAACTGGCAGCGACCCCGGGTAACTAAACCCACCGCTCTTTGCACGTCAAGAAGTATGCACAGCAATTGGATAGCGGGACTCGGCAATCAGGAGATCTACAAAGGGCGTGCAGAAAGCTAGTAGTATGACGCTCAATTAACGGTCTCCTGTAACTCACCCCTGTGCGTTTGGACCAAATATGCCCCCCCCGCAATACGTATCAAAAAATTTAAAGAGATGACTAACGGTTTTACCCGGGTTCTTCGAGTTGGATATGGAAAATGCGAGTACCTAGTTGTCGTTAAAACAAGAACACCCTTCAGGCCCGAAGTAAAACAGGGATGTATAAGAACTTCGAAAGCATTTGTAGACCTTTTGATTACAAGGTAACCCTTATTCGAAGAGAGAAGAGCAAGAATAAGGATGATTTTTTTTTGAATAGAACAGATCCCGAGATAAACTGTCGCTCGCCCACCCGTTCCTCCTTATTATTTCGATTCACATGCGCTTAAATATCCAAATCTAACCCCCATAGTTCTGCGGACATTTAATGATGTTGTCTATCACGAACTTATTGAGGCTCAACCACATGAGAAAGCGATTTTTTTATCAAGTAGGGATCGATTGTCTACTGATATGAGTACGGGACTGATTCGTTTTTATTCACCAGGACGTATGGCGTACGAAAGCTCTGTGGCACAGGAAATCAAACAAAAATACCAGCTCGCTACGCAGTGAGAGACATATTACGCACCGGCCACCAGCAACGCTTATTCAGTTCCTGCCTCATGGGGCAGTTCTGGCGTAACTACGTATATGATGGAGAGTTATTTTTGATATCTACACTATCCACAGATATTGGGCCAATTAACTAACTGATGAGATTTCGTATTCAGGATATACCAACTCAAGAATCGAGAAAGAAGTTTGCCCTTGCACTTTATTGGTTCTATTATGTCTGCCTGGGGCTGAAATAAAGTTGTCTTGCTTAAGGCTTACACGAATATCCAACCAATAGACACGCACGTTTCGATGATAACATACGACATCTGGAATGGAAGACAAATGAAGGTCTACATCAGAGCCACGTCGTCACAGCCTGGCTACTAGAGGATCCGATCGAAACTCCTGAAATAGACACCATAGATACGTTTCTATTTGTACCAATTTGCCAGACCTGCAGGCGATCCGTACCGAAAGGAGAGTTTTGAGGACTTGATGGGGCTCACTTGTAACTCTTCGGTTCCTGTAGCCAACCCGCTAATGGATTGATACACTGATTCATAACGTCCACTAATAGAATCCGACCCTATTCCCATCGTTTGGTGGAACCGCTTATTCGGACCAACACGACTGTAAACCTGGTTCATTGTCACATAGTTTCAGCCTTTTCAATATCATAGATAGAAAGCGTTTTGGCCTTGGTACTGTGCTGTTGATCATCTGGAAAACCCCGGACCGCTAAGAGATCTTGACTATGCTGGCGATACTGGGGACAGGAATCTCGATAATGTGGGTTCAAAATCTAGTTCTGTTTAATTTTTCTAGCTAACGATCAAAACAGGGCCTAAGCTGGTATGGGCCGGAGGTTCGGTTCGCTTTGATGATATAATATCTACATTACCATATAATTGATCAATGGATCAGGGCATGGTAAAGTCGTCCATCAAACAGGATGACGCTGTATACACTGCTATAACGGGCAATACTCAAGTTTCTAGAATATCAAGCTTGCTACCCAGTGTGGAGGGTGGCTCTCAAAGCCGCAGCTGTGGCGCTGAAAAATGCAGCTGAGTAGGCGCATGCAGACCCGAAAGCCGAAAAACTCACACAAACCTATGAACGGTACCCACTGTGTCTCCCCTCGCATAGGACACAGAAAATCTGTGCGTACATATTCTGGTATTTACCGATCTTTTTGGTAAAGTACTGACACTTTATGAGTTAACAATATCAAACAACCCAGCAATTTGTAGTCACGGACATGTAGTTACAACTACATGTCCTCAATGACTCCTCATATACGACTTTGAGCTTTAATTTACATGCGTTAGATTATAGGATGTCTTTGCTAATGTGATTAACGGCCGTAGGCCATGGAGCTTATACCAGGACGACTGAGATATCACCATTGAAGAAGTAAATCCCCTTATTGCTATCCCTTGTGGCATAATCTAATGATGAGCGTGGATACTTTCTCCAATGTTAACTTTTGATTCCGCCGTCGGGACGGAAAGTCAGCTAGCTACGCGATCACAAACTGAGACACGGATAATTCTTTTGATTTCTCAACGCCGGTCACATTTGCATGCTGATTGATCACTTAACACAATGCCCAAAGGAGCTGCATCCGTTATCGGGACGTGGACACCTCGAACACAACCCGTCACAGATGCAGTCTAAATGCACTACCATACAAACCGCCGTCGGTGAACCCCCCAGGCTTCTGTGGTTTACTTGCGACAGACCGCCAGCCTTATATAATATTTTATACTAAGATGGCATCAAACATATTAGGCATATGTCTTACAATCTACAGCTTCACGGATCACTCTATTTAATACCCCGATTCCTGAACAAAGAATAAATGTTATCGAGTCCCGACCGACCGGGTCCCGCGGATCTATCGATGGCGTTTTTTCGCGAACTCAACCACAATCATACAAGCTTTGGGTGGCGTACTGAGCCAGTCATGGCCAAAAAAAAGTAATTTTTACTTTGATAATAATAGATATGGCACCATCTTGTCTTGGTTATGACGGGTGCATTATTTATGAAGAATGTTGGCGATCATGCAAAGCCCCTCGCCTGATAATTAGCTACGTAACATGAATTTTAACTTGGCTGACACTTGCAGCTTTTCTCCAGCCTAGGAAAAAACTAAAACTACCCCTCATCCTCCCGTATCCTCGATCTTGTGTGCATGGTCAAGGTCATATCGTTTGGAAAACTACGTGGGCTCTGGACCAGGTCTGGCCTCATAGGTCTTTTAGTTGCTTTCGGGTTCCAGTTCAGTATGCCGCATATTCTCATCGCCAATATCTTCCAGGTGAATTCAATGCATCAAGTCTGATTGGGACCGGAGTTCATTAGCTATCCGACCGTCCATACACACGTCATGTAGCCTATGCCGGAGAGGAATGTATCAAATACACTTACCTCGAAAAGATGACATTCATTTCCTAGAAATGGATCCAAAATACATTTGCTAAATTCGGAAATAATCTCATTATGTGGGAAAATGGAGGTTGGTTCGTATTCAAACTGGCATGTGTCACAATTTAATTGATAGATTCAACAATTTGGATTAACAGTTGCCCATACGGATAAAATGCTGGATCGAGACTTCGTTCCGGTTTACATTTTTTTTTGACCGGCGCTAGAAGTTGTTTGCTGGGATGAGACCTTTAAAATGGGTTGATGGCCAAAGGAATCACAGCAGGCAAAACTACTATAAACTCCAATTTGCGAATTATTCCGTCAATTGGGGGGGGGGGGGGGCGCTGCGGCTCTATTACTCAAACATATGGATATCTAATCAAAATTATGGCATAGTTTACTTGGCAGCTGAAAACTTAGGAACACCCATAATGACTGGGTAGCTCAGTCTCGATCTGATCTGAACTAGGCAAATATGTATGTTCTTCATACATTCATGTACAGAATCTAATACCTAAAGCTAAACCACTGCAGTACAGAGATTCCAAAACCAATTTTGAAAGTGAATTACATCCTTCTTGGTAAACGGAATGATATTATTGAACGAAGAAACACTGAGACAGTTGGTTTTGAAATTCTATCCATAAAAGGTTAACCTGAAATCGAGAATTTTAGACTGTAACGAAGTCATGAAATATTTCATCTTTGGTATGTATATGATGTTTTAACTCCGGCAGGGCCGGGTTGCTAGCTAAACTGATAAGGCAAATGAACCTGGTTCATTGGGACATTTGATAGACCGAGTGATATCTGATGATTTAGAACACTTTCCATAATTAGTCGGTTTGATTTAAGAGTATTTTTAAGTTTAATATGCTGAAATTGTCCTCTGACTTTACAAATTCTATAGGATATCCTGGGTATCCTTCTGTTTGCAGAATTCTGCCCTCGCCCGTCGACCGAAGGCTCCCATAAGCCATATCCTTCCTTCTTTTCTTCATCTAGCTACACTAGGCGCACAAACCTCGCCGTGCAAAGTACAGATATTTATCTTGTTAACAATGACAGTATCTTAATCACACCTCCCTATTGGCTGTGCCATATGTGCCGGTTAACAAACCGGTGCGGAGTGGGTGCTAGCTGTCGAGGCTCGAGATAATACTGGATGAAATTGCAGTTAAATACCTCTACGGCGATACCCCCACATTGCATGAACATGTGGGGGTACTTACTGATTTATCGGTTTCTTCATCAGATCCCTTAACCTAGCCTGATCTTGACTCGGTACCAGTAATAGCGCTGAAGCACGCTGATTACCTGGTAAAGGATTGTGAGCTGGTTCCCCGGATTAGATATAGCGTCCATAATGGAAGCGCAATCAAGCGGCTAGTACTGCGTTCGGTAAATTATCGTGGTTTCGGGGAAGAATCCAGGGAATGTTCAGGGATACTGGGGTCGCGTTTGTATGGATGGATATGAAGAACCGAGTTGCTTGTAGTGTTACACATGGGTGAGAACAAGGGAGACAACCCTGGAAGCAATAAACACCCGCTACTTGATAAAGTTAGCAAGCCGACAACTTCTGCAGGTGTATTCTTAAGAAAGGAAGAAAACAAGAGGCTGGTTTACATACGTTGATCGTGGAGAAGGGGTTTCACTCGGGGTTGTGAGTTTGCACATGTGGGAACATGGAGCATCTATTCAATCGTTAGCAATTGCAAGGTATGGCCGTAAACCGATTGTGACTCCCTCATGTTCTGAGATAGATTCAGACCCTGATTCCCTGTTGGTGGACTCGCTACCGGAAGTGCAATAGTTTGCCATCGAGGCATGGGGTTGGAGCATAGCAAATCCCTCCTTGATTATTAGTTATGGCACTTCTACATTGAATTGGCATTGTATCCTCTAACCTATTAAAGTTCTGAGCGCTTTAAATCGCGAATCAGTTCTCGTCAACGCTACAGCTGTAGTGTGTTGGGACATATAGATACAGGTCGAAGAAAGCATCTTGATATGGTAGAAGAAAATGTTTCGAATGCAGAGCTGTGGGATTTAGAATGAAGGAGAAATAAAGGGAAGCTGAGTTACAAGTTAGAGTGCTAAATATGACGTATACTTGATAGATTGGAGGATACATGTAACGAGCGTATCGATCGACTCGAAAAAATGGAGAGGGGATGCTAGATTATGTACAAAATACACACTCACCGCATGATATGTAGTTCAGTTGATTATATCAAAGAGGAAGTAAGACACATATGTGTCTTTCATGACATTAACCAAAATTTCTTGGCAAAGATATACTCTATACATACACTTTTCTGTGCAGTACTATTGAGTTTCTCAATCAGTTAAGTAATCACTACATATAAGGTGTTCATCTCACCTATAGTTTGCCCTGCGTATATAATCCTCCGAAACACAACAACTTCGGCATCGTTCAGGGGTATTAACCATCATCCTCAACTAAACAAAAGTCACTTTCTTGTAGCAGAACTGTCACGATGTCTCCCTACTCGTCCGGGGCAAAAAGAAACCTTCAAATGACAGTTAGGAGCTGGTGACGTATTATGAAATGTCTCGATTTAGAAACTCAGCGACTCATATACTGTATCCCTGCTTTAATTTGAGACTTGCATTCTTACACAGGTTCTCCTGCCATTGACAAGCATTCTACCCTCAAAGACCACCCTGAGGTTGATGAACAGTGGCCAGGGGGGTTATTCATGCAAATCAACTTGATCCACGAGGTAAAACCTCTCGGAGCAAATTAGAGTAAGGGGGGTAGGGGGGGGTCTGCGAGGCTGCTTGATCGAGGTATGGTGGCAGATTTCCCTCAAGGCGGCCTCGTGAGCGCTACCTGCCTTGAAGGTTATGATGCTTCGAAGTGAGGGCGCAATCACGTACAGTAGTACTTCTTTCATCATCGGGTAAGCCCATCTGACGAATTCAGAGATAACCCTAACCCTAATCCAACTGGTACCCCTTACCTTGGATAAGGTTGTGCTAAAGCTTCGAGGTGTTCTGGGTGTCTGTCTTCCTTGCGAGCCTCAGCCTGAATGCACCCTCCCCCCCAACTTGGCAACTTTATCGGATGTGCTGAATTTCCCGCATGTAAGCTTAAGAATATAAAGATCACTATTTACATACCCAGAATAGAGTAAGAAGTGCCCCTAGATGAGTTAGAGGCGCCTTAAGGGAACTTTTCCCCAATCCGCCTCGAGCAGTGCTCTTGTTGGCCGCACTCAAGTTGTCGTCACACATAAATTTAGAATACCACAAACCCTGACCCTGGGGCCGAGCTTACAATTTCAACGCATCTCTTCTCTTGTAGTACATGTATGTAGATCTTTCATATTACAAATGTCAAATGATCAAAAGGTTCAATTTGTTTTGGCCAGAACAGAGTTTGAATAATATCTTCCGCGTGGTGTCTTTTACGAGGTCTGAAAATACCTAATATGTACTCACAATGACAGGAACGCAAATGCAAACGATCACACTCGGTTTCAAGATCGTTCACAAGTACTTCACAGCCCGGGAAAGGATATCTCATGATCATTATCCGACCAAGAATAAGGAAAAAAAATCCGTGCGTGCAGAGAAGGGGATGCGGTGTCCGATATGCACACTAGGCCGCTATACACATTTCTTGGTTCTTGGTAGCGGACCGAGATAACAAGGAAGATAAAAAAAAGAACTCCCGAGTCCCTTGGATGCACAGAGTACAGGATACGAGACCCGAAAAGCTAAGTTCCACAAGATATGGTCGATTCCGGTATTCCGGCAAACATGAGGGCGGCAGCCAAGTATATATACATGTATACAAGCTTTTCGCTTGAAAGCGCTACAGGTCTATAAAACAAAGAAAAGAAAAGGCATAAGTACATAGGAAATCATTAAGAACACCGAGCACTGAAGAACGAGAAAATAGTAGTAAAGAGAACCCTAACTCCAAAAAATTACATGCTGACACCTAAAGCTAGTGATATCCCATGAAGCAAGACAAAGGAAAGTGCCGGATGGGCAGACCGTGTTTTTCTTTTTTTTTCTTTTTCTTTTTTTTTGTATTTATGCTTTTTCGCTATGTGGCGAACACTGCTACGTGCAAGCTCCTACAAGATCTTGCAACACATCTAGAATGGAAATCAAGTTAGTGGGACGTTTCGTTCCTGATACACGAGCGGACGTCTTACCATCATACGCCAAAGATCCACAAAGGTAGTCATTGCGACCAAGTGGTTGCGAGTCCTGTATAACAGAGTGGCCATTTGCCTTCAAGCTCTTCATGATGTTTTCCAGCGAGCTCAATGTGCGCAGATCATTCGATTTGCAGACAATGACGACCTTCACACCTCCAACTGCACCTGAAGATTTCAAGGAGAGCAGGTTTCGATTGCCTGTATCGTAAGAATCCTGTGCCTGTGGAGTCGAGACTTGCGGTTGCATCTGTGGTACGACCGAATTACTTCGGGTGCTTCATGATTGTTAGTTCTTGTTGTGGCAAAGATGATTTGATGTAATTTACCTTGAATATGAGCTATCAAGAGCTCCTGGGCTATCGTGCATCAATTCACCAGGATGGCTATCAAGCATGAAGCCACCGGAACCAATAGAAAGCCCATTATTGTCGTATTGGGGACGACCACCATGAGTTGTTGCAGGCATCATACTATCAAACCAGCCCCATTCGCTGGAATCAGATTGATGGCCGTCAGAATCATAGCGGGGCTCAAAGAAGTTTCCCGAGCGTTCCGCATCAAAATCAATAAACGCATCCAAGTCCTGGTGGATCTCGGGTCCTCGAGAGTCGATCAAACTCGTAGGAGTATCAAGCGAGTGCATAGTTAAGGACTCGGTGTCCATGCTGTCAAATTGTATGGTCTGGGGGCTCATTTGGCCCATGCCGCGCAGGATATCATCAACGTAAGAAGTGGCGCTGCTGGGAGAGTAACCTGTCGATGAGGTATTCGAGCTGATAGAAGCATGCTGAGGGTGCGATCGAGTTTGGTTGAGCTGAAGCATTGAAAAGACTTGTTAATATACGTATATATTTTGAGAGCTTTGCCCCTAAAGTGAATTTTTGGAGTGATGATGGAAGGGTTTTATATTTGTACCCACCTCGTCTAATGACCATATACTGCTAGGAGAACCCGGGGTCGCAGTTGGGGTCGCATTTGCGTCTCGGGCTTGTATTTCTTTCCACCGTCTCATGCATTCTATTAAATTGGAGTCAATACAACATGCACCCAAGTGTGGACCCCACGAAACCAGGGTTCGTGAGCAGGGATGCACATACCATTATCGTTCCTGGTCATGACAACCTGGGCTACTGAAATCCACCTGCACCGTTACGTACGTTAGTTACTGAATTTCAGGCCCACATGCCCATGTCGCGAAGAAGCCCGAGGAACAATAAGAATTTGAAGAGATAGTGCGCCGTCGACCTGCCGGGAGATCTATAGCTGCCGGTGAAAAAAAGAAGTATATCGCGCACTTACTTCCTTCCAAATTTCCTTACAGCTGTAGAGAGTCGTTCATCTTCCTCCGGTTTCCATTTGCATCTTCTCACCGCCTCCATCATTGTATGATGCCAGCGCTTTCTGCACTCCTTCTTACTCCGTCGAGGTAATGATGCTGCGATTGTATCCCATTTTACTGGCCGTTTTTGTTCTTTCTCTATTACCCAAATCAGCCATCAAATACTTCATGCTTCAGTGCGCTGAAGCCTACCTTGGAATACGGCATTTCGTAGTTGCTTGTCTTCTTCTTTGCTCCATAACCTTTCTGCGTGGGGATCGAATGTGGACATCATGATGATGGGGACTATTGGGATAGCCAGAAAGTTTGAAAGACTATGATTCTGTTGAACAAGTCTTTGCGATATTTCGAGGCAAGGTGGAATAAAAGCTGTTATGAAATTTGAAATTGAGTTTGGATATCAAGCTTGAATGAACGGTGGGAGCAAGTGACTATAAGTAGGCTTCGCTTGTGTTGTCGAGAGAGAAGTAGAGCAGGTATATGTACGCTGAGGTTATATCCTGGCAGTGAATCGGTGTATGGGTGGGGTGTCTGGAGGGGGTAAGTGCTATAACCTAACTGTCTGAAATTATCAGAACCAATAAGTTTGGAAATACAAGATGTATTTAAACCAAGCTTCGGATCTTAGGATAGATTACTGATTTGAATTCAAATCATTGGACCAAGGTATGTGAGATTCATAGTGAAGTGGGGTGGGTGTTGTTCGAGGAGGAAAGGCATCATTACTGTATAGGGTGCATAAGTATAAAATAAATCTAATAGGAGGACTAAACCTATCAAAATCATGAGCCTCCAAATCATACTGGAAAGAAGGTAGAGAACTACCGAAAGCATTTCTGCCTGTACTACAGAAGCTTTGAACACTCCATACGCATCGCCTTCCCGCTAGACGATTCTCATTGGCTTCCGACAGATTGGGACCGCTGTGGCATTGAGGTGTGAGTACGAGGTCAGGACTAGGGTGGTTCACAAGGATTTTCCTTCTCCGGCACTCTGCAGATCCTTCTTATTTTGCTGCCATCTGCAGTTCGACAGAGGTAATGCTCATTGCTTATTCCGGTCCACAGATTTTTTTTTTTTTTTTTTTCCCGGCCTCCGTCACATCCCTGTGCATTACTAGTAGACTTGATACTTCACTATGCACGGTGCAGGCCTTATCCTCATTAGCCTTTTGATATTTTAATTGGGTGTTGAGGTAGTTTTGAAATATAAGCATGCCCGTTTCTGCCTCCACAGCTTCCTATTCAATTCTTGCAACGCGATGGGAGCCAGCTGTCAAAATTATCACAGCTGAGAGACAGATATTTGGTATGTTCCTAATGTGCCATCTGGCAAAGATCTCTGAGATGTGTGTCGGACTGCTGTGCCGTAAAAACGTTAAACCCAAAGTTGCAGAAACAAGGCTGGTACGCGGTGGCTGAGAGCGCGTAAAGAAAGAGATGGTTCAGATCACTATTGGGTCTCGGCTCTCCATTTCCAGGCAACAACATTGGCTGTAGAGGGGACCAGAGGTTTAAAGGCTGAGTAACCATAGCCCAAAATGGGATAGAAACATTTCGTATTCTGAGGACGTTCAACATTGGCTCGATGCCGTCATTGCACATGCTGCATATATCTAAGAAGAAACCCGGGGGAGTGGCCAGTTAATCCGACGCGTTCCTCTTGCAGCTCAGTTAATCGGTTATTGGTCGGTTACAGCGTCTGGAATAGGAAGTGGGGAAACGAAATAAGTCTCGAAACATTCGTTCATCTGCACGTATGAAGGTGAGGACCGGGCAGTGCGTGATCTACATGTACCCGCATGAGTAGACCCTCGTATGTATATACCTTTCACTCTAACCCACGTTGGGCCGGACCCTTATCTTGGCTTCTAGGTTCTGTATTTAGAGTTTATAGTCTTTCTCATCATCCTCACCATTAAGTAATGGATGAAAACCCCAGTTAAAGAGCACCCTTGGGTCAAATACCCAGTGTTGTGACCTAAACCGGTGTGTTCCCACTTCAACTACTCGGCCTCCAATCAATCAGTCAACCAATCAGCTCAGCGCGTCATTAAGGTTCCCGATCGATGCTGTCAGGCGTTCTTTTCTCTTTGGAATCAACGAATATCAATGTAGCTGAGAAGGTTGATTTTGTGATCCTTTAGCAATGTATGCGACTCGCTCTAATATTGCTAATCAAGTCTCATACGTATATTCTACTAGACTATCTCGTACAATTCTGCCCTCCATTCTAGCACCTCTTGCTGCTTGGGCTATTAACTTAGAACACCAACTCCGGTGAAGTAAAGCTTGGTCATTACGCCCTCCGCCTTCTCGAAAAGAAATCTTCCACTCGGGACCTGAGTACTCTTCTAGGTCTGTTTTATACACTTGTATATCTTTCTGATAGTATAATTATATCTTTTGAGATTTGTATTGATCATCTAGTGCTTACCGCAATGAATCATAGCTGCATGCACTGTTGTGATTAAGCATATCTCTAGATGCAGATTTGACATTTTTGGCGTTCTATTGAGACAACGTGCCTGATCTTGATCGAATTATACCAAATTTCTAAACTAAAGATGAGTTATAAGTTATAGCCTCGAGCTCAGCTTCGCTGACATCATCAATGTCTATTTTCACGCTGACTAGAAATGTAGAGTAGCCGCGTACGTATACACTATCAACTGGGACCTCAATCATTGTCTCATGTGGAGGTCACAACACATTCATACAGTCATAGTGATATATATATATTTATACACATATTAGCGCGATTCCTAATAACTCTAAGTGCAAACGGTTCCCCAGCAAAAGCTATCTCACTTCTCATTAGTTCGGGATTGATCGAAGTCTGCAGAAAAAAGTAAACCTGGAGATAGCCGTTTCGGAAAAGCAAATAACTATGATACAATTTTCTAAATCAAGCCCTTGATGCGCAGGGCGGAGACTAACGGGACACAGACTCTGGGTGTTTTCCATGTCAAACCATATATCCGCCACGTTACGCACGTGTATTACTCTGGTAAAGTTGGAAACAACATCACTTTGAATACGGGATCCTTCTCTACAGGGTTCGAGAAGAAAAACGAGTTCCCGTTACGTTCTGGGGGTAGCGGCCGGTGTTAAGTTGATAGGCGATAAGTGGGACTTTAATCCGGGGTAGCAACTCTGGGGCGGAGGCGCAGGGTAGAATGTTCCGTGGTTCGTAGCACTCGGAAGCTGCGGGGTGACCAGCATCTAGCAAGGTACCGCGAAAGACGGAAGGCATACATGTCGTTTGAAGTCGTTTCAGAGATGTTCATTTAACAGAAACAAAACTAATAGTGTTTCTACAGATGGGGGCCAGCTTTGCTTGGCGTGATATCAGAATACCTAGAGGCCAATTACGTCAAGCCGTTTAAAGAATCAGATCCAGGTGAATTCGATGGCACGAAGAGAGAGGTTCTTCTGTGTTATGCCTACACGTGCGTTAGTTTTATAAAGCTTGACTAGATAGTGTTAGTGAAGCACACCTAAGTTGGAAACTTTGTTTCATCGGTTCGTATTTGAATAAGGATTGAATGGAGCCTATGGATTCTGATTTCGCGCTCTTCAGATCCTAGCTTCGACGTGACCGTGTCCGAGGATATACGAGCTGGTGGAAAGCTAGAAAGCGAGATATGTTTAAGCGCGCCAGGCCGCTGGCCGCTGGCCTTGGATCGACAGATAGAGATACGTGTAGATGGTAGGTACTGTATGGACCTATCGTTACTATGAAGTTGACAGGTCGCACTCGAGCTTTGTAGGCACAGTTAAGACCAGAGTGAGTCAAGGCATTTGGTACCACCATTGGACCGTAATGGAGAGGTCCTGTACCTTTATTTATTTTGTGCTACCGATGTTGATACTACATGATACACGTAGGTAGGTAGTACTAATACTTCGGCCTTCACGAAAGCCGAAACCCAAATTCCAAACACTGCTAACGCTATTCGCTCGCTCTCCCAGCTCAAGACCTCACCACACGTGGTCTGCCGAACTTCGCTCCAGTGATCGGTAGATGCACTACATATCATCTCTCATCAGCGAGCCAGAGCCTCATGCGAAAATGACCCATCAATGTTACATTTGGGTGCAGCTGGTTGGATAGCCCGGTCAGATCGAGGGTTAGGTAAGGACGGACGGAATCCAGAAGGACAGACACAAATTACAATACCTTTCACAAAATTAACCGTGTATGCTCTACTGGACCCTCCGGCCCTTGAGTTAGAGCGACCGGACTCCTTTATCTACTATCTACCTCTCTACTCTCGGGTCACGTGGGATCTTGGCATTCGGCGTTACTACAACTAAAACCTATCGTTTTCGGCGATAGCACTCAACGAACGCCGATGGACCTAAGAGTCGTTATTACCGAAATCGTGAGCTTCAACAGAAGAATTTCACAGAATTCTATGTCAAGATAGTTTTTTTAGTTAACAGACCCCTTTTCGTGTGAAAAATTGGGGGTTAGAATGATGATTGAGATAGCATATATAGGCTTGGTTAAGCACAATTCCAACATCATCGATTTCAATACTCGACTCAATCTACATATAATATCAACAAGATATCTCAAGTCATCTACTTTTTCAACGATATAACTATGTCTCCTCAGATCTGGCTCATCACTGGTACCTCCTCTGGCTTCGGCGGACTTCTCACAAAGGCCGCCCTCGCTCACGGCGACAAAGTCATCGCGACTGCTCGTGACCCAGCTAAAATCGCGGACCTAAAAGCCCTCGGTGCTGCTACCCTTGCGCTCGATGTTACCGACACCGAAGAAAATGTCAACAAGACTATCACTGCTGCGGTCGAAATTTATGGTCACATCGATATCCTGGTCAACAATGCTGCTTATATCCTTGAGGGTGCTATTGAAGAGTGCAGGTATGTAGCACTGACTCCTGCATCAGTGAAAAAGTCCTTTGTCACTAAAATTGCAAATAGTCCGGAAGAAGAGTTCAAATCCTGGAATACCAATGTCTTCGGTGTCACGAAGGTGCTCCGTGCGGTTCTGCCCTATATGCGGCTTTGCAGGTCCGGCATGATAGCGAATATGGGGTCGATTGGCGGTTGGAGAGGCTACGGTGGAGCCGGTATGTACGGTGCAAGCAAGTATGCGATTGCTGGACTGAGCGAGGGCCTTCGCCAAGAAGTTGCACCACTCGGGATAGATGTCGTGTGCATTGAACCAGGTTACTTCCGCACCAATTTTTTGGCACCGGGACATCGTACATCGAGTGCGAAACACATCGCCGACTATGACCCTGTGATGGAGCCTCTGAGGAACATGTTGTCGGCATACAATGGCAAGCAACCAGGGGACCCTGAAAAGGGTGCGCGAGTGATTGTTGAGATTTTGACGAAGACAGGAAGGGTGCAGGGGAAGGTCTTGCCCGGCAGAATCCCATTAGGGTCGGATGCATTGAAGGTGATTGGAGGGTTTTGTGCGGATACTGGGAAGACCCTTGAAGAGTGGAAGGATATTGCAAGCTCAACGGATCATGACGATGTTGCCAAGAATTAATTGCAGTGGGATCTTACTGTATCCAGGATGTTACTATCGCAATATTTTCCATTTCCCTAGTAGTGTTAATGTATCTAGAGCTGCATGCATCAAAGGGGTAGTCTTCACTTAAATTTTACATCTTAATAGGTCTATCCCGCAAAAGCGAATAAAGCCCATTTCACATAAATATAAATAACTCTTGATGCTTGGAGGGCATAAACCCACATATCACGACATCTAACATTTGAGTTTTAGTACAGTCAGTATACAACATGTACATACCAGTGAAGTATCCCTGATTATTCAATGCCATCGTACGATTCTCCAGGAACCCTCCATAGTATCCCCTCATAGCACACTACGTTTCATCCCCAGTTTAACGTAAGATCCCTTCACCATGTTTGATCTACTCTCGGTACTGATCCGATACTGTCAGATCCGCATAGTGAAACATCACCAACAACAAGCTACATCGGTGTTTTTCAAAGTCCACGCAACAGAAACTAGAGGCGGGGACAAGACCTGAAAATTATTTGCTAACTAAAACCCCCAGAACAAGGTATATCAACCAGACCTTGCTGGCTCGGGGCTTCATTATTTCTCCAGCTGGCATGCATGGGTACGCCTATCTCTACCATTCGGAGCATGTGATACCTTCATCCTAATATACATGTATATGTGCCTGTTCCACTCCATGAAGTGCAGGGTCTCTTTTCCTCGGCGCCGGCTCGCCGGGGAAGTAAGGAGAGGGCATCAACCAATTGTTGGCGCAGCACCCCCACTCTTATGGCCTACATACATGTAGGGGTGGTATTCGCTGGGGTCCTGGACCCATTGTGATCCTAGTTTGTTAAGGGATTTTCTTTTCTTTTGCAGAGATCCAGCAAGGTCAAGGAACATAGAACATCACTCTTTGCTGGGAAGCACGGATACGAGCATGGCCTAGTAAACATACTTTAGTGGCATTGGTTATTCTCAAAACCGCGGGGGAGATTTGCGTCTACATGGGGCAGGACTATAGACCTTAGAGATCGTATTGTTCCATCATACATGTAGTATCGATCATGTTGCTACATGTAGCTATAAACTTCAGGGAGTCCAATTGCAATTACTTATGACGTAACAGTAAATGCATAACTACATATACATGTATGTTCTACTATGGGCCTTGGTTTCATTGTTTTCATGGATCAAGAAGTAGTCGAGATTCATAGTACTACATGGTGCAAACAAATCCTAAGTTACTTGGCTGAGAAAAAAAATCACGATGTTATAAATGCAAGGTTGTCGCCAAGAAATGAAAAGCATACATACATACATACATACATACATTTTCTAATATTCTAGCGCGCTCGGGAGAAAAAGAATACAACCGTTTTTTACTTGGGTAATGTGGCTGCATTGCAGTTTTATGAATTGCAATACAGTCGCTCACCTACTGACGGCGGATCCTATCTGATGGTTCTGTTTACAGTAATTTACCCTTAGCGTCTAAAACCTAACTCTTTTATTGGCCTCAAATCCCTGACCGCCATCAGACAGGATCCGCCTTCACCCCGTGAGTGACTGTATATTTAAATCGAGTTTTTATGTAATAATCTTCGATATTGTGACATCGGGAATTCAAACGAAATCATCAAATTGCTTCTGGTAAGCGGCTGTCCCAACGTCTAGGTACTTGACGTCGCATATTGCCTCAGTAATGTGATACCAAATAGTTCAGCTGAGGATACCTCCAGGACATGTACTTTGAAGCTGAAGTTGTGCAGTTTGGGGTATATTTCAGGTCTCTATGGCTTGGCTTTGGCTTGGGAACTGTGGCTCTTAAAGGGGGCTAGTGAAATGAAGTGGCTAGGCGGTCAACATAGAGACTACTCTGCATGCCATATATCTCAGGTCACAAGCTGTTAAATGGACGTAAGGATTCAATCATCTTAACCATCACGTCGATCAACCAATCTTTCACAGAGAAAGTCTTTCCAATGACTGCATATGTCACTTTCGGATTAGGCCCAGAATTCCAGGCACAACTTACAAGTCCCCACTGCTCTTGACGTGTTTGTGTCAAATCTCTGAATTGATGACGGGCCAGATCTTACAAGCCTGTTACACTCTCAAGGAATCAAGAAATTCTCCGTTGCATAAAGGTAAATCGTCTTATATCTATATTTATTACTTTGGTGGCTTTGCTGTCTCGCTGTGTCATCATGTATAATATTTATTTCCATTCACAGCCAAATACTGAGCCAGTCATCTTTCTAGGATATTACGCGTATGAGACCTATTAAACGTAAGCTTAATCACCACATAGGGATTATAATTTATCCGCTACTATCAGAAACGCCTAGGCACTAGACAAGTGCATCTTGTCGGCCGTCCCTGCAGATTTCAAACCGGACGCATTCAGCCTTAAAATTCCAAAGGACGGTTCGAGATGATGCACTGTTCAGCGTCCTATACATATGATTTACATAAGACCAGTAGCTAGAGGGTCCACGGGGCATACTGAGAATCTTTCGCTCCACGGTGGCCGGTTCCTTAATCGAGGTGATCGAGTAACAGAATTGTCCCCTGGTCCGGATATGTCCTACCTCAACTGTGGGGAATGAGTTGGTCCTCCCCAATGGCAATACACGATCGTCGAAATGTGTCTTAATACTTGTTCAGTACATATTGATCCTACACGATCTGCGAAGATTGTCTATTGACAATGACCAGAAGGCTTGGGAAAGAGCTAAATGATCAAGGTTCCAAACTGATCTATACGGCGCTCTCCTATCGTCTACCGATTTCTATTTGTCAAGATATATATTGATTTGTTATCGCACGGCGGTTTTTGATGAATACCCCACAAATGCACTCGAATTCTGCTTCCAAAGGGAAAATGTGCTTTGAGGTTTTTTTCTGAATATGGACCGTACATCTCAAACATTATCCCCTCAGGTGAATATCAAGGCACAAGGCGCAGCCTGTAAGGCTCGTCATATCAGAAAAACCTGAAGCTTTGATAACCACCATGTGCATGAGGCCTAACTATCGAAACGGCCTAGGCCTCTAGTATCCGCCTCTGATCATACCCCACCTTTTTTTTTGGATCGAAAAAACTATGCTGGCTCGCCCTCCTCCTATGACTTTCTATAAGACTTCCCAGGGCAGTGGTACCTTAATGGATAGGTTAACGAATATTTTTAACATGCAATATTGCAATCAAGTCCTTTCAATCGCATGTCTCAGCCGCACGCAGTTCTACTTACTGGTTATCCATCAGGTAGCAAAAAAAAGGCTTTATATGGTCCGACAAATAATGAAATCGACTAGGTGATGGGTATTACCGCAGGCTGCATAAATGATGATCCCCATTTGTTTTTTTCCTGTGCCAAGGGATACCAAAGAGGGTGGTTTCTCCGGAGTTCTTTCCTTGGCACTGATCCTCATCGCCATGTGACACAGGGACCTTGATTCTCCTCCAACCGATCATCACCTTGTACACGGTCTCTGAAAGTCTAATATGACTACTGCTGATGACTTGGTAGGCGCTGTGGTCGGGTTCCAAGTTCCGGGGTCCCATACATACGTATCTACAATGTACATGCGATCGTGCTGAACTGTTTACCGGTACGCGGTGGACCATGGGAGATACAATTCCAGAAAATTATCTATACATGTGAAACTAGTCTTGTCGCCCGCATCTTCCGGGACCACAAAAAAGACAAAAAATCAGCAGATCAAATGGATCATTGACGGTCGATGGTAAAACCTGACCCTTGCTAGTATGGGACAAAAGAACACCTACCGGAATTAGCGCTGGCTAACACCGATTCATTTGCTACTTTCAACAATTGAATAGGTATACTAATTATAAAGATGGTCGTTTAGGCTGGCCATAAGATTGCCCGGCTTTTTACCGTTGGATGAAAATAAACCTAACCCTCGAATCCATGTTGCCAAGACCGAGTGATATTCTATGCACGGCTCGTGAACTATCACCAAAAGACAAGCCGTGCGATGCTTACATGAGGTATTGGGACTGTCTGATTATCTAGAACTTTTACCGGTGTTATATCCCACCATATAGGGATTTAAGGGACCGAGATCGACTCTCAAGTCTCGGGTCGGCATTCAGTGTTTATCTCCGAATGCCGAAGTTGGCTGGGCGCCATATGGGTGACTTAAGGTCAGTAATGCCATTTCCCACATTCACATTATAGGTAGCTTCATGTGATGCTTTGTCAATAGATCTGGGCCAGTTCCACCGGTAACCTATCGATTGTTTTTGCTAGGTGCATCTTTTAGGAGGGGCGCACCGATTACCGAAGATTAAACCGTTTTCTTGACATACGCCACCTAACGGTCCCGAGATTTTGGAAGACATGACTGGGTCACCATTCATGCAAGTAAGGTCTCAGGTAGGTAACTTTACTGATATTGAGAAAGTTGACGCGAGAGATTTGAGATTTTGTCAGATCAGATTTTGCCTTGCAGCATCTTGGCGAGGAAGGTAAATATATTACTCTCCAAGCAACAATTACCGATTATGTTGCGCAATAGGGCTGCATGGTCCACGTGGGAAGGCCAGTGAAGGGAATGGGAGCTATATATAATAATATGGCAGGGTCCCGAGGTAGGTAATCAACATGTTGCTCCATGCCTTGCGCAATTGTAGGCAAACGAAGGCCTGTCGATTTGGTTTTTGCATAGGTATGTGAGTTTCTCCGAACCACTCGGTTGTGTCCCCACACCTCCTTCCTGTTCTTTCCCCATCCACCAGGAGCATGTTCTTGGGCTAGCAGGATTGTTTGACCTTGCACATGCCAATCACACCCACACTCGATCCTGGGTCAGCCTGGTGTGTGGTGCTGGGTTTGCGCGTGCGAGTGGGTGTGGTTGTTTGGTGTGGTGTGTGGGAGCTGTTGATGGGTGGCCATGGATCCACTGGCCAGTACTGATCCCGAAGGTTATCGGGAATCGTGATTGAGTCATTCATTCATCCCTAGCTGTGCACCCATCTATAACTGCCGTCAGGTATAACTGTACGTAAGGTTGCCCCTGGTTCCTGGAAGGTGTTAATTCCGTCTGTGTGGATAGCAAAATGTCAGATTTGATTACCGACAACCTGCGGGTCGGTATCTCGTCGTCCTTTGGGGGAAATCTGTGGTATGTGTGGTGCTTGGGAACGTTCCGATGGTCGTTGCCAATATTAATATATTGCTACATACTGTTGATCGAATTATACATCTACCGGGAATATTCTCTGGGGACAAGGGAGCAATAGATCTTCCCATTCCGTCGGGGTCATTTTTTAAAAAAAGAATTCCCAGCTGCTGCAGCTATAGCTAGGAGCACCTTGGGGTCAGCCCGACGATATTCGTGTGTCCATGCGTTTTCAGGAAAAAGAATTTGTTCCCGGGGCTGTATATACGTACCGATACGTACATGTACATGTAAGGTTTAACGGTGTCATTCCCGCCATACAGCGATAACCCACGTCTCGGCTCTGGCTCTTTCTCTCTCTTTTCTGACATTGCCTTATAGCTTACTTTACCTTACATCCCTCCATATTTCGTGCCAGCCAGATGCTTAAAAAAAAACCTTAAGCTGTTTTTAGCGAAGTGCCCTTTGCGCAGCTAGCTAGCTAGCTAGCAGGCCAGCACGTAGCTGTCGAGCTGTCAGTCATGGGTACCAGCAGCACTCTAATCCCTAGCTATGCAAATACGTACGTAGCTGCCTGGCATGCCGGCCCCCGGCCATCCATCTCGATCATGGCCAGCCTGTAGCCAGCTACGCCTCGCGCGCGTTTACTGTGTTGGGAGAGAAAGCGGGAGAAGAAGGGTGGTCTCGGCTGGAAGCTGTTCCGGATCCAGCACGCAGCGAAAAAAAATACGGAGAGTGACATATCCATCGAAAATTGCGTTTGTTTCTTTCGGCGGGGTCTTACGGTCGTGGGGTGCGCGTCATGAAGTATCACTCTGGTTCGCAACCGACCCACCACCACCCTAGCTGGCCTAGCGTAAAATCCGTTGTGCTAACGCCGCGTACGGAGGTTTTTATTTCGGCCGTTGAAATTTCTGAGGATATATAATAAAACATGATCAGAACCTAAGGCAACAGAGACAAGGAGGGCGGAGAATTATCGGTAATTTGCTTGTATTTGTAATGTTGTCGCGGTCGGTCGGAAGGAAAAACTCATCACGGAACAATGCAATGTAGGTACATGTAGCTTGGTAACCAAGCTACAGCTATAGCTGCGTTACATAGATCTGGCCTCGCTTGAGCCGCTGCATGGCGACCGCGACGGTGGGCGTAGTAGCACAGCGAGCTGATGATGCCCCCAAGACTACGATAATAGTTACAGACCCTATCGTTTCCGTGCTACGCCCTCGGTCGCGCAGGGAGATAGCAGCAGTCGGGGCTCGATCATGAGGTATCACTCACCAGTGCACGTTTTACGGAGAGGTAGGTACAGGAGGTACAGGAGTCAAGTAGCTATAGAGTATACGCGAATAATTATGTGGTTTTCGAGATTTCTTTGTATTTATCGCAGAGAGCTCGGTCGCACTCAGCTGCGGTGTCTACGCATATGCTGGGTGACAATTCACCACAGAATAGTATGAACACAATGCAAACCGGCTAAATAGTTACATGTAGTTTGAAATCCCTACACGGCCCGCCCACGATGCGATAAGCTCTAAGGCATACTAAACTTAGTACTTAAAACCTTCGAGTCATTAAAATTATTTCTCCTCTCTGGGAGGATGTGTAACTACTCCGCTCGCAAATGCATCTTTACGTTTGATGCCGCTTCATGTATGGGAACGAACTCTTTTCCCTGGCTGTCTACATGAACCACGTAATTGTATGTTAATTACTGCTAATTAGAATGCCACCGGTAGCCATAGCCTCCGAACAATATCAAGAGTTTTCTCAAGGGTCTTTCCTTTATTACTAACGCACAATGTTAAGCGTTTTCTGTTCTTTGTTTCCTGCCAAGATTATTTCAATAACTCACTACTAGTCTTTTAGAAGTTTTCACGTATAGAATGACCTTACTTATAACTCAATATTCGAGTATCTCCAGGTTAGGGGTGATTGGACCATCAATTTCCCTCCAAAAACCTCATGAGCACTTTTAGTAGTTAAACGATCATTGACCTCTGACTTCCTATATCTCCTTCAGTTAATACTGCATTCCCTATGGCAAAAGAAGCCTACCTTTACCCACTGATCGTCCTCCTTCTCCTCATTCATGTATCCGCCCAATTACTGCAGCTCCCCCCTCCCACAGGGCTCTTTACCATCGGCACCGTAGAGGTACAAATCCACGACTCTGGGCGGCTCGACGTGCTCGCACCAACCCCTAATATCCCCCGTACATTCATGGTACAGGTCTTCTACCCCGCCAAATACAGCACACTTCACACCCTCTACTACGCCGTCCCGTACATCAAGCAGCACGCAGCCCTTGCCTACGAAGCTGCCAAGGGTCTACAGGCTGGTACCCTCAGCGCCCTGCAGAGTAACTCGCTCCCCGGCGCGACCCTCTACGTCGCCGACGGCAACCTCACAAACATCATCGTCTTCTCACCGGGGTTCCAAATCTCACGCGTGTTCTATACCAGTATCTTAGAGGACCTTGCGTCAAAAGGGTATGTAGTGGTTGCCATCGACCACACTTACGACGCCGAGGCGGTCGAGATGGCCGATGGCTCTGTGGCCACGGGACGTTTTGTGGGCGTGCCCGAGGCAGATCTAGACCTGAGTGAAGTAGCGCAGGCATTTACTGCGCGCACAGAGGACGTGGTGTATGTGCTTAACGAAGTGCGGGAGATTATGGCGCACGTGCCGGGTTTCACTGACTTTGTCGATATCGGCGGGCTGGCGGTGTTTGGGCACTCGTTTGGCGGGGCAGCAGCGGCCGAAGTTTGTTGGCTTGATGGGCGGGTGTTAGGCGGGCTGAACATGGACGGGGACTTCTACGGCGAAGTTGTGGGCAAGGGATTGAATAAGCCGTTTATGTACATGGATTCCGCGCACGGAGATGATGTTATACGGAGTCCAGCACAGGTGGAGGTGTGGGAGAGACTGCGGAGTTGGAGGAGGCATGTGAGGGTGAGCGGGCTGCGACATATGGGTTATTCGGATTTCCCAATGTTGATAGAGTTGTTGGGGCTAGCGCAAGAGATACCGGAGGATGTATACGAGGACTTGTATGGCGCGGCGGAGGCGGCAAGGAGTGCGCTAGTGGTGAAAACGTTTGTGGCGGCATTTTTCGACTTTTTGTTTACTGGGGTGAAGAGTGTGTTGTTGTCGAATGAGTTGAATGAGGAGTGGCCCGAGGTGTCGTTCCCGATGGGGAGGGATTTCAGGTAGTTTTATTGATATTGATATTGTGTTGGCTGTAATATATATAACGGCCTGGGAAGACTTCTTCAGGTGTCGAGTGATACATGTATGTTGTGTGTTTGGTGGCGTATTTGTACAAACTCCAATTGGTGTTGCTAACTATAATATGTAGTTAGTTAGCTGTCAAACGGCTTTTATAATGTTTTCAAAGTTTCTATCCCATATATAATATCTTGAACTCGGGCAAAATTTCATGCAGGATTATCGAGGACGGCGAATTATCTATGTGCGGTGATTCCTTTGTTTTGTTTGAAACGTCTCCTCCATGCAATATAATATGATCAAATACCAGAATGGGAGACAAATGAATTGGCAACCCACAAGTTAGCAAAATGTTCTAGTACTTAATTTAGCGCAATACCAACTTTTACCGTCAGAACGTAAGTACTCTCTCCACTTATTGAAATAGATTTTTTTCTGAGATGATCTTTGTGAATTAGCAAAATAAAGAACCGAGAATTCGAACGTAGAGAATATAATGTGAATTGATGAGTGAAACAAGGAGAGAGAACGAAAGCTCGCTCTTTATAGTGACAGTTTCGAGGCCAAATTACCTCTAATTCAAAGTACAGATAGCTTAGAACAACGTCTAAACTACGTATACATAATTGATAAAACATTTAACAATGTAGTTGTTAACAACATCCACCACCGGCGCAATGACCTGCCACTGCAAGTATTTGGACTCTAAAATTCGAATTCCTAGTTCGGCGTCCGGTTCCTGGAATCAGGGTTTCCTAGCTTACTTGGCAAGGGAGACCTGATATTGCTATAACCTGGATTTGAAAATTCAAACTAAAGGCTATTCACATGCGCCCTCGAACTAAAATCCTCTAGCTCTCGAAAGTATTATTTCGGCCACGATAGTGCCGCTCGGTCCCTGGTATGTACTAAAACTATAATTACGGTCAGTTCAAGTCTTTCATGAGCGCAAAGAGGAAATGAACATCCATACCAAGAGCTTAGCAATTGCTAAACATAATTGCGCTTTATATTTAGCAAGCCTTTAAGTTTAAATATCTCACTGTAGTTGTAATTAAGTTAAATTTCTTTCAGCAGCGGGGTACGTACGCCTGCCTTTCCCTTCACGCACCAATATCCTCCCGGCCCTCAGGTCTCCCATTCCGCTCTACCCGGAACTGACCTCAATTCAAAGTGATTGGGTAGGTCTAGAGGTCAAGACAATTCCCTCAAAAAGAAATTCTCTTCTCGAAAAGCAAAACTCTTTCTCCGCCAGCTGACAGCATTGCGATTAAAATCTCTACTGGAAACCAATTAGCCCTCTAGGAGTATCATAAACCCATTCCCAAACACAATACGTAAAAGAAAATCTCAAAAGAACCTTATATATACCCCCCAGCCCCACTCAGTATGAAATGCACGATGTAGCTCTATCGCGTTACTCTCCTCCGTTCCTCGAGGCTCGAGCTCGTGGATGGAGCATGTGTGTACTTTTCATCAACTGCCCCAAGGCTGTGGAATTTATGCGTAAGCAAATCAATGCAATCACCAGGCCAGTGTAAGCGTAATTATTCCAGATATATATCTGTCTCGGAGCGCAATAGCCCGATCGAGTCGGCGAAACTCTGTAGAGTAAGCTGGTGGGTATGTAAAAGTCTCTGGCATGTACGCGTGCTAGTAGGTAGACATGAAGTAAGAATTTACCAATAATGTTGATGTCCTTGCGCTATTAGGCTCTTAAGATCTAGATGTAGCGTTTCCTCCGAGACATCCCTTATAAGATCTGGTGGCTCATGTACCGCAGGAATGCATACCAAGCGCGTGTTTTGCGAAAAAGCAATGCCGAATCTTGGCCGGCACCAGCAACCGAGAAATATCATGTAATAATTCTTGAGCTACACACATGTCGGTAAGGTTGTATTTTGGAAAAGTGGAGAGATATGCATGCAGATAATGTGGGGCCTTATTCAATATTTTTATCGTCAGGTGGGGTATTCACATGGCAATGATTGTTCATGCTATATCAATATGTGCTTGCCAAATAAAACAATGGAGCTACTCTAGGTGATAACATATGGGATATCCTTATCGCGCTAATCTACATGTATGTTCCTGCAGCTAGCAGGATCGATTTGTGCAACGGTAAATTAAACGTCCTCCTATATCACAACTGATGTTAACTACATGTAATATATCGACTTTACCATATTCTATGAGTACGTGGTTAGGTTAATCTCATATCCCCAAGGAAAATTCTTCATCAAACTACTGAAATTGGATGAATTCCACTTTTATGTGCAATTACTTTTAGTGCCCGAGTTTCGTCCGAATCCATCATCTTCGAGATCAATCCCGACATTTCAAACATCTTTCCAGCATTAATGCTGTTGCGTGGCCCAACTCCACTTATAAACGCGGTAATTGCTTTGATTCTGAAAAAGGTTGTCACTGGGTTATGCCATTTGAGGATGTTCAAAAAACTACCCAAACAAACCCTCCCCCGCTAAAACTGGTCTTAAGCGCTTTCCGTCACTCAATGGATTTACCGAACGCCCTACACTCGCCATCCCGTTTCGTAAATTTTATTCACGACGGATAAACAGAGATCCATGTACGTCCCTGTATATATGTAACTCTCGTATAAAGTCTTCGTGATGAATAGTGTCTCGGCCGTTATACTAATCAAACCCGGATTTCATTGTGGGAAGATCGAGTTCCGAAGATGGAGTCATATACCCTGATCAATTAATCACCCGTGGCCGCCGGAGAGGTTGTACGCTTACATAGCCTAGGATAGATATTAGGACGGAATTGGGTAGTAAACAGTACTAGATTAACCGGATTCGATATTGTCTATCGAATTGTTAGATTATATTATCAATAATGAGTCAACCCCCTGACTTCGTGTGACGTCAATCCTTGTAGGAAATATCAAATGTTAGCAACATCAAAACTTTGAGGTTCTGGAAAAGTTCGAGGAGGTACTTCCCTATAGTGTTTTGAAAGAGATCCTGAGTCACTGAATAGACCGTGCGATTATCTATCAGTGCCGAGAAATATTTGCTATATATAAATGGATTCTCCTCCTCTGAAAGAGTATGTTTCAATCCACTCCAACCCACAGTTTCATAGAACATCAAGAAATACATCTCAAAAAAAATTTGATATAATGGTTACAACCGTCGAAGTCAGACCGCTCCTCACAGCGACGGGGTTCTTAACCCGAAAATATCTCTTCGCCGATGCGACTCCTGAGAATGGAGATGAGTCGGTACCGCTCCCAGTATGGGCGTTCTATATCTATCACCCCGGGAAGAAAATCCAGGCATTGTGGGACTTGGGTATAGCCAAGGTACCAGACCGTTCGTCAGAATCATTCACTGGCCTCAGTTAACAAGAAAAAAAATTAGGACTCCAGCAAGATCTCACCATCCATTCAAGAGGCCATGGCAGCTGTCATGAAACCAACAATCACCCAAGACGCTGCAGAGATTCTTACCAGTAACGGGATTTCGCCTGCCGACATCAACTATCTCCTCATATCCCACCCCCACGTAGACCATATCGGGGATCCTTCAAAGTTTCCCAACGCGATGATGATCCTCGGAAAAGGAACACAGGCTTATTGCCGCCCGGCATGGCCCATAAGCCCTGACTCAGGGTTTGTGGAGGAGAACTTCCCAGATGGTCGTGTACGGGAGCTCGAGGATGCCGATTATGCGACATCTGTGGGTCCGTGGCCGAAGGCGCATGACCTTTTTGATGATGGGAGTGTGCTATTGATAGATGCGCCGGGGCATCTTCCAGGACACCAGGTTGCTCTAGTAAGGACGGAAAGGGGGAGGCTATTGTTAGGCGGTGACTCTTGCCATCACTGTGCTCACCTCACGTCGTTCCAGAAGGGCGGGAATATGAGTTATGTTATGCACTTGGATGAAGATGATGCGAGACTGAATTTGGAAAGAATAGACCGATTTTTGAAGAAAGAAGAGGATGTAAAGCTTTGTTTAGCGCACGTTGGGGAACATAATGAGGGGTTTGAGAAGATCTATGGAAACGCGTAATGTGGCTTGGCAATTAGGGTTTGTGGGATGGACACGGTGTGTATATGGACTTCTGAGTACATAAATGTAGATGTACATAGATACTTTTCGGAGGTCTCCTCGCTAAATAGATAACTCTACTCCTTCCATTTCCGGACTTGTGATGCTGTGCTACGACTCCTCGTGAGACGAGCCGGGTCATGATGTCTTCTCGAGAAAACAGGCCCGAACCCATGAGAGCGACATGCAAGCCAGCTCCATATCACCCCTAATTAGGCACGAGACTCCCAAGGATTGGTAAACAGCCCTTGTTCCGATAACATGATCTCACATTGGATAAAATTCTCCTACCAGTAGAGTAGATTAATAACCAAATATTTGAAGATCTCAAATCTGCACCTCCGTTTAGCACTATTAATGCATTATTATTATAGAATAGTACTATTGGTAAAAACTGGAGATGATGCCCATAAGGGCAGAGGTAGGCGCATTTGAGAATCACAGGCTATCACTCGCTTAAGGCTCGAACAGAACTCGCACCAGTTTGAAGCCCTAGCTCTTTAATGACGCCAGAGAAGATTCATTTCTTTTCAATGACTCATGTGTATCGCTTAAATGTGTGTTTAGGTTATTGGTGACTCGAAAATTCCGTTAGCGAAACTTCTTGAAATGAAAACTTCACTAGCGGGGTTAAAGGCACAGTAGACTTTAGCGTTACAACGGCCCCCTTATACTTCGTTTTGGATAAAAATCGGTCCCAGGTACAAGTGCTCTTTGAGATAAATTTTTGGCCCCCGTAACTGGCACACCAAACAAAAGAAATTCTATCAAAAAGGATCTACGGTTGAAGAAGGATTTTCGGCCAAGAAAACGAGCCCGAAACTGCAATAAGTATCTTTCCTTGATTGCGCACTACTTATTGCTGCATTTACCCCAGTAGTTACTGCACTGTTTGACCTTGGATGGGAGTCATGTAGTCTGGTACTGCATGCTTGGAGGATCAATGATCGATGGAGATACGAGGGGTTAGGGTAGATACACCAAGAAAAAAAACGCACGTGATTTGGATTTCGAGTGATATCCCATGAGCTTGTGCGACGGATAATGCCTCTATGGGGAATCCGCCAAGTTACATCACTCCCGATCATTGCACCGTATCTTCTCAAGATAAGCAATATGGTTTCCAAACTAGGCTACCGCCAGTCGAGTTTTCTACCAAGGGAAATAATCGATCGGGTCTATCTGATTGGAGCCAGATTGAGCTTGTTCATCTCAAAGTTCAGTTCGCTTAAGAGCAAATTGATTTTTATCTTCTGTTTGGTTTTGTGATCATGATATTCTGATATTCTGCATACACGTACATACATGCAAGGCGAAGTTTGTGCACAAATCGAGAAAATCATTCGAGTGATAATCTATGCAGGATTCTCGATAACAAGTTTTGAAACTGGTTTGTTGAACACTTGTTTACAACACACCACTTTACGATACTCAAGCGGGAGCAGCCGATGTCGCAGATCTTTATTCAGAAACCTCATGAAAGTGCAAAACACGAGCTGAACAGAGACTAATCTAGTGCTTACATGCATACCCCGAGCCTCAAGAATGTTTACGCCAATTGGAAATGGCACTCCGTCATGGATTAGACCTGATGTAAATAAGGTCGTAACTGGTGACCCCCGCACACATCCGAATCTGTATATCAGTGGCACCGGCACCGAGAACCGCGGTGAAGGCTAGATTTCTTTTTTGATAAAGTGACGGATTCGATATGTCAATCATGACTTGTTTCCACGATTCATTCATGAAAAAAAACTCGGTCCCAGAGACACAAGAAGCGCACTGGTGCGCCATATGCACTGGACAGGTGCATTTATTATTAGGTATTCTCTACGTCAATGAATACTTCAAGTGGGCAGCAAAAAACGGCAACACGGGTCATGTACATTGCTGCAGCTAGCTGCAGCTGCACGGTTCTGGGTGGATTTTATGTGGCCTGTACCGTAAGATACCTGAGGTGTTGCCAGGTAGAAGTCCCTCGGATGCTCCGTGGAACAAGAGCTCCTCTGGGTCTGTTTACTTTTTTTTTCCCCTCTAGAGTTTGGAGGCGAGGCAAAAGCACAGAGGACATGTATTCTCCACACGATAGGACAGGAAAAAATAAGTTCCGGACGAATGCTTAACCCCCCATTGGATTCCAAGTCGGGGGTGTCCCAAAAGGGGAATTTAGGTTGATCCGGGCGCCAAGACAAAGCTTACCACCTCCCAGAAAGTGTTTTTCAACAACATTCTTTGCTTAGAACTCACCTAACGTATTTAATGTACCTACGCTTACCATCCAGGCCTTGGGCTCCGCTTCTAAGGAGGCCCTGGGACATTCTTTGTGTGCTGGAACGCTCGTATCCTACCATGTATGTACATACATACGTACATGTATACTTCTAATTTACTAATCAGTTCCAGCCTGCTGAATCATCGTTTCAGCTCGCGTCACCAGCATGCAGTGAGTGGCTCGAGGGTAGATCCAGCCCCATGTACTCTACCTACCCTACTTTGCAACCTTGGGTCAGACATAGCGTTGACCTACATAGATTGCGGGGTGCCTTAGAGTCACTTGGACTCGGGATCCAGAAGAGCGGGTGCATAACCAATCCCAATCGTCTGGGATCATTTTGTGATTTCTCTGAATGGTGCGCCCACGGCGTGCTATCATTGCTCCGGGCATGCCTTTCACATGCTAGTACCTGGACCGGGGTATCTTCTGTTCGCGTTTTCATAGATCTAATCGTGGATGAGATCCGTTGAGATAGTTGAGATGCTGTAAGACAATAGTTGGAGCACACAGGATATTATTGGTTTCTCGGTATCGCTATCATCAAGCCAACCATGTGGTTATCCGAAAGATCAGTCATATTCTGGAATTATTTTCCAGAATAGGAATTGAAATTCCAATACCTAAAAGCAGAAGGTAAGTCAGGGAATATATTACTTAGGTCCTAGAACAGCCGAAAATCAGAGTTGCACTTTACGATCATACGGATAAATGAAGTTGAAGTATAATCGATTCTAAACTGACGAGCTGAATCTAGGAAAATGATCAAAAGATAGTCTTTAATTACAAAGAAAAAGAAAAAGGAATGTCAGTCGATGCTTTTCCTACTCTTACCCGGGCCCCAAAACAAGTCTCAAATCTACCCCAAATGACCGATACTTCTCCAATAGTTGACGTACAAGTCGATATGCTTCTTTTCAATACCACCTGAATTTGCCAAGGTATCCGATGCACCCCGCGCCTTTTGGGTATCCAAAATTACTGCTCCACTGGCCATTGATGTAAATTCCTCTTCTAAGAATTTCACAACATTGCCAGCAGGATTTTTCTCATAGTCGTCGATTGAGCGGACCTTGTCAAGCCATTGATCGAAGGGGATCACTGCAGGCTTGCCCTCCTCCGAGGATTTGAGATCGAGGGCTCGAGAAAGCAAAGTCAAGATGTCCATCCAAGGTTGACGCATGGGATTCTCAAGGTGATAAACAGGGGCAGGCTTGGTGGGCTGAAGAAGGAGCTCGATAACAACTTTAGCTGCCCGGTCTACTGGGATCCAAGACAGTGTCTGTCTCATATATGCTTTAGTGCTGATCCAAATAATGTACAGTAAGTGTGGAAGTGAAGGAGTGGATTAAACTTACTCCTTGGACAGCTGGAAGACTACCAATTGTCTGTGAAGATTTGAGAATCGATGGGAAATGCTCTTTGGGACTCCAAGCACCACTGCTCTCCGATCCTGTAAGCTGGCCAACACGGGTGATTATGGTCTCGACTCGTCCGGCATAGGTACGGCCTGCTTCCTCGAGCATCTGTTCGCACACCCATTTTGCTTCGGGATAACCGAAATGGTCTGTTACGCTTGGGTCAGGCATAGGAATTTCGGGAATCAGAGGTGTTCCGTTGAGAGAAGGATATCGTCCCACAACAGCCACAGAGGATGTGAAAAGAATTCGTGGAACATTTTCCGGCCTCAGTGTGTTTGCCGCAAGTGCAAGCTCAATGATGTTTTTAGTTCCTTGGAAATGGGGTTCAAAGGACTCGAGAGAGCGATTGAAATCCATTGGCCATGCATTATGAATGATATGTGTGACACTCTTTAGAGAGTTGTAATCTGCAGAAGAAAGGCCAAACTGTGCGGACTTGAGATCGACTTCATGAACAGTTATCTTCTCCCAATGGGATTTTGGAATCTCAATCCCACCTCTTTCGAGGGCTTTCTGTTGTCGTAGGCTGAAATCGCGGATTGCAGCACCGGTGCGGCGGTTGAGGCAAATTACCTTTGAAACATTAGGAAGACCCGAAAGCTGGGCTAGAAGGAAGGCACCAAGACTACCGGTAGATCCAGTGATGAGTACAACTGCACCAGAGTTTGAGTCGAGCGAGTTAACAATGTTGATGTATTTTTGTGCCATGTTTTTCACACGGTCCTCTCGGTCAACCGCCACGACAGCTTTCCCGGCTAGAATACCAACCATCTTTTCAATAGTCGGATAGGCGAAAATTAGATCTGGTTGGAGGCTGTCCCCATCACCTCCGGACTTGTTCATTCCCGCGACTATTTTGCGCCTAAGGACTGTTGCTTGGAGAGAATCCATGCCGAGTTCAAAAAAGTCGTCTTGGTCGGCCCACCCGCCGTCACTCCCGAGACCCAAGCCTCTCTCCACCATGTTTCTCAACCATGTTCTAATATCTTCGGTCTGCCCTGCAGGAGGCATAGCTTCAATCCCCTCGTGCTCGGACTTCTTGTACGCTTCCTCGATCTTGTCTGTGAAGTCTTTCACAATGGTTTTCCGGATCAAACTACCCTTGTCGGTTCGAGCAAGTGGTTTGTAAGATGGAGCTGTCACAACTATCATGCTCTTGGAGGTGATCTTGCCATGTGCATCGGTGAACTCATTTCCGGCCTCGACAGAAGGCCAGATGGAGTCAATGTATGATTTGACTTGAGCTTCATCTGTTGGATCAATTTCGATATTGGCCTCAACGATCAATCCAATGTTGAATCTCCCATCTCCGAAAGCGATTGCATCCTTCACCTTACTATCATTCGAAACAGTCGATTCCATCATCCTTGGCAGAATCTTCTCTCCAGTTGCAAGAACAAGTAAGTCATCTGCACGACCAAGGACCCTGAACTGTGTTTCCGGTTGGAGGGGGTTGCATTGAAGCAAGTCGGATACTGGAAACTCAACACCCCATCCGAACGGGTAACCTATGAGCTTGAAGAGGCCATCTTCAGCCGGTTCTACCCGCAGACCGATGTCTTTACGGAGCTGGATATAATGCCAGTCGTAGTCTGGACCGGGAATGAATATGGGAGCAATTGCACCGATTTCGGTACACCCCATATGATTCAAAAGCTTTACACCTGCTGCAACAAGTGCCTCTGCATTACCGGACTTGATCGGTCCTCCACCAACAACCACATAATCTAGTTGTTTCAGGACATCTAGGCCTTCGTTGTTGGGTAGCTTCTCGATGTCCTCAAGAATGGAGGGAACAGACATAAGGGAACGGGCATTACAGCTGCGTATCAGGGCAAGAGTAGACGTTGCTGTTGGAATTACAGAAGCTGCAGGGATGCAGAAGGGCTTGCCAATCGATAATGAGAGTGATATTGCGAGAAGGCCAAAGCCCTATAAAAATTAGAAAATATACTTTTATTTCCTGAGTACTAATACGATAACTCACATGGAAGAGTGGAAGTGTAGAGCAACTGACACCGTCCACCTTTTCTTCAGGGCCAAACAAATGGTTGTTTGCATATCCCAAAAGATATTTGTGCGGGTGATAAATTGGTTTCGGCAAGCCGGTGGTGCCGGAGGAATGCATAATGACTACATTACGATCCATCTCATCGACGACGTTGTAGGTTGAGGGTACCTCCAGCGAAGCCCATCCGATTGGATCGGAGTCATCGAGATAACGTTCATACGAGATGGGTTCATAGACTGTGGGTGGCTTTTCACCTTCATCATAGGATGACAGTGCATCGGTTGCCGCACGTGTGCAGCGGGCTGAGACTAGTACGGCTCCTGCCGATGTGGCTTTCAAGAGATGCGCAATCGCGACTGGTGTAAGCCGTGCCGAAAGAAGAACAACCTAACATAATGTTAGACAACCACCGCACTTTGCGCCTAGCAGATGTTTCACTCACAGGTACGCCAAGCGCCAAAAGCGCCATCATGTAGATAATAATCCCCACATCACTGCCCATCAGTATCCCAACTGCGGGGGATTTTGTAACCCTCCCATCTGCGTCGACCTTGGGAAGTTCAATTCCGGCGACGTTAGAAGTGAGCCATGCCTTGCAGCGATCGACTGCTTTCTGCAACTGTTCGAAAGTAACTGGGACTGGTGGCTCGCTAGAATCTTTGACGCCTTGAAGACAAAAGAGAGAGGATCCGTTATGCTTAGCATTGAAGGCGAGCAGCTCGGGGAAAGTTCTTATGTTGTCATTCTTGGTGGCAGCGAGCGGGTGAAGAAGCTCGAAGTTGGGCCGGCGAAAAGACATTGTTGTAGATGAGTTTCGCTTGAAAAACTTCTTTAAGAAACTGGTCATACGAATTTCGAGAGTTCTGACCAAGATTTGAAGTTTTTTATAAGAAGTTTTTTGCAACAGAAATTCTGTCTTGTGGGTTTTTGAATTGTTGGATGCCAGGGTGGTGATCTGGAGGAATTCAAGTTCAGTTACTGAAGTAGAGCTTTTATGTCCAAGGCACAGCTAGGACCCGAATACAGCACGTGGTTTAAGATCTTAACATAAAATGAGTGAGACTGATCTTGGGTATATATATATATCCGCCAACTTCAGAGACTCCCGACGGCATATGTACATGTAGAGTGCACGCTTTTACCCTAGCCATTACTAACTAGTTCGGGTTACTAATATTATAAGAGGATCCAGGTAAATGTGAATTAAACTAGTAGAAATGTGTTTTGTACTTTTATCCTGCAGTCGCTATACTGGATTAAATGCTACTACTCTCTTAGTCGAGAATGTATGCCATTAGTCTTGGTACCTGTAGGTAAAGTGGGGCTTTTCACTAGTCCATCGGCTTTGGTTACAACTGTAGAGAGTGCCTACAATTGTACCTGCCTACATCTTCGAATCCGGGTCAGAGTCTGTATCCGGAGTAATGGGAGTTACTCATAGGCTGTTCTCCTGTCGAGGTAATGGATACATCCGTATTCAATTTTCTCATGTATTTAGGCAAAAAATAGGTACGTACATGTACACAGCCAGGTAAGATAATGGTGGCTATGATTTGATGAGTCTTACTGCCTCTCGTATCGAGCTTGTTTTTCATCGATTGAATCTTCAATCATGTACATACACATGCATCCTTCTTTCCTTTTCCTTTTCCGGCGATGGGCCCGGTTTCTTCAAGTGGTATCATAATAATATCTTTGCCCGAGAAAGGATGGGCTACTACGTACTTTACTGATCGTTTACCTTGCGCCAACCAATCACGGTTCGCGCCTACAGCTAATGACTGGGTACAACCCGGGGTACAGTACACGAACGAAGAGAAAGGCAAGGGGGAAAGCATGCATCAAGAGCTGTAGAGTATCTCTACTGCTTCTTCTAGAAAACTCTTAAGATCTTTATATGGTAGCGTCAATTGTGTGGTGTGGCATGGAGTAATAAGCATCCCAGCACAGGGGACATGGTAAAGTTGAATGGGACCTCCGTATGGCCATATGAGGTGTTCCAATCTTCGCTAATCTTTCGTCATGTAGTACCGCATCCAGGGTGCAGATATGGATCGAGTGATCGTGCATTCGGTCCCTGAAAAGACAGAAGCTTATCACGGGGCAAGAGGCTAAATATCAAAATAGCCTAGGGCAATAATCATGTACTTGATTTTTGCTCTACGATGCTAGTGGGATGATTTCGACATCATTAGTGCGCGTGGATAATGTTGTAAGCCGGGTTTTGGGGGTCGCCTTGGTGCACATGGATAATGTTCTTGTCAATCGTTTCTGCATCAGTACCTAATTACAGCGGATTACCCGCGGGTGGGATATGTTCTGGTTGCTTGATCATACCTTCAGCTTCAGCTGCACTTTGGTTTTAGTGTAGTTATAAAACATATACTTCGATGGGACCAGAATGTGTAACGTGTACTTTGCACGTACAGCGGAAGATTCAGATGTGACTAAATTTATCTACATGTACATGTATTACTAAACACTGTCAGACTACAATTGGTCGAATCATTAAACTCGACGGAAATACATACAGTAAGGGCCCTTAAGCTTCAAATACGAAAACCAAGGAGGCGAGGTTCGAATCTAGCCAGAGATAACCTATCAGTACTAAAGAAAGGTATGCTGAGTCTTTAGGAAAAGGGAAACCCATAGAATCAAAAGGGTTATTCGAACCGAGAATAGAACTCGGTTGAGGATTAACCAAAGGAAAATTGAGGGGTGGTTGAGATTCTAGTGCGTAGTGCTTGTGGTGTAGCTAGGTAGTTCAAATTACTCGGATCTATTAACATGCCAAGACATATCGCACTGCCTGCCCGCCGCCCAGCGAATCGACGCTACAACAAATCGGACCTGGATGAAGTATGAACACAATTCATTGAACGAAAAAGTAAATGCAGATGGATTAAACTACCTGTAAGCAAGGCAGGGTCAACTTTCGCCATTATACTCCAGAAAACTAAATCTCTCGTTTCTCTATTTCCTAATCTGATTGATACCTATCCTTCATGGTCGCCGTTCTGGGCAGACTGGACGAGTGCTAAGTTGTGCCCCAGAAGAAGCAAAGTTCTTGGAAGATTATCTGGGACTCGACCCTGGCGGCGGCCAAAAGTTGTGGTGGTTTTCTGACTTCGGCGATATGCACCGAGTTCGGAGTAACCTTAATAGGTGTCTGCAACTCTGTCTGAAGCCTTTGTAGTGGCCAGGAATAACTCTCCAGTAGAGCCTTCCAGGTCCTTGGTCTGTCAGATTGTGAGCAGCTTTGAGGCTGTCAGGCTGTGGTAGGCGGTCCACCTGCTAAGTCCCCAAACTTCAGAGACAGGCCCGTGATAATGACGATGTGGTAAGAATTGAACCATCCCACTATAGATACTTCAGACCTTCTGCACTACTTTTCAATTCTTCATCTCACCCAGAGACATTCTTCCTCATATCTACTCTCGTTCCCAACTCAAAAATCACCTCCATTCTCATCCTCAAAAGTTAAAGAGATACTCCCCATATCTCCAAGCTTCCCGATTCCAAGGAAATAGATATCCTCAATATCTCTTAAAGTATCCTCCATATCAATTGACTCTTTGAGACGAGATACCCCCATATCTCCTCTAGAGTCTTCCACATAACGAGACGTCCGATATCATACTTCCAGACAATCGGCTTCTGAGCCGAGATCCTCCTTGCTCCCCTTCTTCACACCATCTTTCTCCGGAAAGAGATACCCTCAAATCCCCCTCCCATACAGACAAGATATTCCCCAGTATCTTGGAAGTTCTTTCTGTCCCTACGACTCCACTTGACCCACGATCGTCTCCCCCACCTACCCCAATTGCAAATTCTGATATTCTTCCCCCAAAGAAAACATACAGCTTCACGATGAAGACCACAAGTATTCCAATTTTTGCAGGCCAAGGCTCCCTCTCAATCTTTTCACCCAAGGCCCGAACTGTTGCTACCAAAGATGCTTCAACCGCCTCCGGATCCCTACTGCTTAAGGCTGCCCACCATGCATTTACCGCCGAACTCTCCAGCTTGACTGATGAAGAGCGCGCAGTTATTGGCATTGACCTTGCAGATTTCCCCAGTCCAGGGAGTCTACTTGAACCAAAGGAAAAGTATCAATCCTCATGTATCATTCAAGGTACAAGTTTGACACTCTTTCAACTCCTTCGATATCTCTCATACATCGAAACCACTCCCGGTGTTTCGCTTGAAACTGCCGCAGCTTCATTCTCTGAAGTTGCTGGATTCTGTTCAGGATCCTTGGCTGCTGCAGTTGTCGCAAGCTCACATACTACTGTTGATTTTCTCTCTAATACCGTCGAGGCCTTTAAGCTGGCGGTGTGGATTGGATATGAGACAGAGCTATACAGGATATCTGAAAGACAGGAGGGTGAGAAAGAACTGCTGTCCTGGGGTTTAGTGGTTTTCGGTTGGACTCGAGAAGTCGCACTCGAACGCATTGCCGCCTTCAACAAAACGGTTAGTCGGCCCCCACCTCCTCCCTCTCCCTCGTCGCACTCTATCTCGCTGGCGTCATCGCCTAAAGCGTCTTCTTGGGAGGTGTTTTTGTCTTTGCTGCTCGATCTCGTTGCTCACATAATGCAATATGGAAATTATCAGTCCACTGGACCTCTACACCTCACTGCTGTCTCTTCAGAGAAAGTTGTTTCTATCTCTGGTCGTGGCGATATTCTCGCTCGATTCCAGATTGAGGAAGTTGCTGGGAAATTCAGCACTAGATTTACCAATGTGCACACTCTGTACCACGGCGGGAGTGTCATGCAATCTGTTAAAGAAAGAGTCCAATCACATCTGATTCGACGTAACCTCAAGTTCCCCACCCTGGCAGAAACAAAGATCCCCCTACGCTCCACAATTAATGGCAAACTGCTTTCGCCCGCTACCTCTAGCAAATCTCTACTTGAGCTCGTGCTAGATATGATCCTCATTGAATGTGTCAACTGGGATAGAGCTGTCGAGGGAATGGTTTCGGATGCTATTAAAGTTGCGAACGATACACAGACGTCTTTTATCAACTTTGGTCCGGGAACTGGATCGGTTTTCCAGGCCCAGAGGCCTCCTCACCAGAATATTAACTTGATTGACCTGTCGCATACTTCGGATGCTGCAGCGACATTTGCAAGCCAGAAGCCACTCAGGTTCAAGCCAGAAGATGGCATCGCAATTGTTGGTATGGGTGTTAATATGCCTGGTGCAACCGATGTTTCCGGTTTGTGGAGAGTCCTTGAAGAAGGACTCAACACTGTATCTGAGGTTTGTCTCTACGACGCGAGTGATATTTTATGATTAAACCTGCTGACAGTTGTAGATCCCTTTCTCCCGGTTCGACGTGTCAAACTATTACGACACTTCAAGCGGTACCAAGCCAGTCAGATCAATGGGCACCAAGTTTGGCAACTTCTTGAAAAATCCTGCTGCTTTTGACAATACTTTCTTCAACATTTCTCCTCGTGAGGCAAAGTCACTCGATCCACAACAGCGTGTTCTCCTTCAAACGGCGTATACCGCCATTGAAAATGCAGGATATGTTGCAGACTCTACCGACACTTTCGCTCGAGAGTCCTTCGGCTGTTATGTTGGCGTTGCGACGGGCGACTACAGCGAAAACCTGAGGGACGACATCGACGTGTACTATAGTACCGGTAACCTCAAAGCTTTCTTGAGCGGACGTATCTCGTACGCATTGAAACTCAGCGGTCCCTCGCTTGTTGTAGACACGGCATGCTCTTCATCTTTGATTGCCATCTACCAAGCTTGCCGTGCTCTTGAAGCTGGCGACTG